AAAAATCAAAATAAAGTTATTGTACGATTTGATAAACGTAATGCTGAATTTTTAAATAAAATGAGAGTAAGTATTATATGTTTGTAAATCGGATAAAGTGTGTGTGGGGAAAAAAATTAATCATTAACCCCCCTTCCGAAATTAATTTTCCCCCAAATCTTCATTATTGAATGATGTAATATGATGGATTTACAATGTGATTTGATTTGAAGAAATGAAAAACAAAAATAATTATTCAATATGGTTTTTTCACGATTGTTTTTTCTCATTTTTTTGGGGATTTATTTTTTCCCTCGGCTCAATTGTGATACAGAAGAAATACAAAAAACAAAACAAAAAACAATTATAAATCGAACGAAAACAAAAACTAAAAATATCTTTTTATAATAATAACAAATATTTGTAACAAAATTTGTAATGATTTTGATCAGCAGAGAGAGAAACAAAATTCAGATTCAATTAAGCGATTCTGGTTATTTGATAATAATTCCCCCATCACCATCATTTTCAATAGCAATGTTTTCAAGAGCAAAAAACGAAGAAGAAAAAAAACCTTCGATTATATTTCTTCGATTCCTATGAAAAAAAATCTTAGATTTAATCATCATGATCAGACGAGAGAAAGAGAAACATATTCAGGTGATTATAAACGAAGCAACAAAAAAATTCGTGAGAATTCAAATATTTTGTAACAAAATCATGNGAATTTCATTTTTATTTCTTGCATCTTTTTTTTCCTAAGATAATTTTGTTACGAAATTTCCATTTTTTTTTTTGTTAATAATAATGTTCATTAAATTAATACCAAATATTCTGTTATCTGGCAAAAATTTTTCGTTGTTTCTGTTTCAGTTTCATTGTATCTTGGTTGACTTTAATCAACAGCATAATCAGATTATTCATATATTCGAGAAATGTTGAAAGGTTAAAAATAGAAAAAAGAAGAAGAAAATTTTGATGATTAGAAAAGATGGAAAATCATCATCATCATCATCATATCCAGGTTTATGAATATATTTCCGGTCATTATCAATTTGTGTTTGTGTCCATGATGATGATGATTATGATTATGATTAACATCTTGATCTTATTATTACAGGAAGATAATTTGTATAGACTTGGCACAGAATTGTCAAAATTTACACATAGAGAGAATTCTCTGTTTGATTTGTGTGTTTGAATTCTGAAAAAATCCAAATAATAAAACATGAAACCAATTTACCTTATTAAAAAAAGAGAAAAAGAATTTCGGGAAAATTTCCCTGGAATAATAATGCTGATAATAATTTTTGAATGTGATGATTTGTAGAAGGAAGAAAAAAGAAAAGAAAAGAAGAAAAGCTTTCACTTTTCATTTGCAGATTTATGTTTGATGTTTCAAGTTTTTGTTTTTCTTTATTTTTTTAGCAAGGAACCAAAAAAGTACATTCAAAATTCATATTCATCATGCTGATGATGATGAAAATTCTGGAATAAATTGAATTAAATTTTCTTCGTTTCATTTTTGTTTCAAAAAAAAGAGTTTAAACATCCCGAACGAAAAATTCAAAAAGAAAAAATCCAATGTCTGTTTCGGTCGTGATAAGTGATGAAATTGTTTTTTTTCACATTCTTAATTCTTGATTCTTCAATCAAACTAACTAACCAACGAATGGTATGGATGAATATTATTCGTGATGATCTCTTCAAAATTCTTCGTGTGCTTTGTAAATGTTTTATTTTATTATTATTAAAATAACCATTCTTCCAGTTGAAGTAAAGTAAAGTTATAAGTCTTTTATTGTTATTGTAGAAGAAAAAATGTTTATCTTTTTTTTCAAATATTATTATGGGGGCTATATTCAATTAGAGAAAATTAGAAAAAATTTTCAAGGGAAAATCAAGAAAGAATTCAAGAATCAGAATCAATTATATTTGATGAATCAAATTCAAAACCAAATGCCCGACATTCAAATGCTTTTTCAAAAAGAATTTGTACATTTCATTTGATAAAACAAAACGATTATTTTGAAATTTCTTTTCTTTTAAACAAAAAAAAAGATCATTTGGTTATGTCAGTTGTGAATGTTTGTTTGTCAAAATTCAACTTAATCAATTGGAAATCATCAATTAATTACCTAATCGATTCATTGATTAAGTGATTCCTTATATGGTATGTGTGTTCAATTTGGTTCATTTGGGGAAAGAATGCCATAAAAAGTCAAAAAAGACCGGAATTTCTATACAATAAAATTTCGACAAAATTAACAAATCAACTTTAGAAAATAAACCAGTCAATTTGGAACAATTCTTTTTTTCTGGAACTGCGCATCATCTTTATCTATGTATGTATGGATGTATGGAAAAAAAGGGAAATTCTCTTACGAAAAATTGAAATGATAGTTTTGATGTTTGAATGCGCGCAATTCCACTATGCGATTCTTTCAAATGAGATAAATCGACCAGGAAAAAAAGAGTATAAATATGGTGAGAAAATAATCGAAATAATAACCGAAAAAGAAAATCTTAATAATATCCGACAGAAGCTGAAACAAACGCATCCTAATAGCAATTATTGTCATCCAGCCAACCGACCAAACAAATAAACATCGTGTTTTGTTTTTTGTCTATTTGAACGAATAATTTGCATCACTTGTCAAAAAAAAACTAAAAGAAGAAGGGTAAGTCAAATATCAAAAGTGTCACTTATTTGATCTTGTTGATTATGATATTTTTTGTTAACCCCGAGAAAACATTCATGGTTGATTTTCTTAGCTATTTTTTTTAATCAAAGATATTTCTTTCTTTCGTTTTTTTGATTATGTTTGTTTGATCAAATTGTTTGTCCAAGTGTCTGTGTGTATTTGGTAGAGAAAATTAAAAGAAAAATGTTAATGTTTTTCTGGCCTTTTTGTTTGTTTGTTTGTTCTCTTCACTCTTTTATATTTATTCACCCAAATGAAACAACAGAAACAACGAAATAATCTCTGAATTACGAAAATGTAATTTTCTGTTGTTGTTCTGTTTGGTCTTTTTTTTCAATGATAATGTTTTTTCTTTCTTTGATGTTTTTTGATTAGAAAGAAAAAAATCCAATTGAGAAACAGGCAAAAGAAAAAACCCAATTATATTAAATGACCATGAATATTTGATTCGAAAGAATCTTGATTCTAGATTCTTGCCCATTAGCTATTTTTGTTTTGATGAATTTTAAATCTTTTCTTTCGGATTTAATATTCTCGTTCGGCAAACCTAAATTTTCGTTGTTTTCCTTAGTCCAATAAGATGCAAACAACCAAACGAATAAACAATAACAATAACAAGCAGAATTCCTAAAGAATATTGTCTTGATTTATTGATGATTATATCATCTTGGGTTATATTCACACACAAAAAACACTTGAATTCTCTCTTTATTTCATTCTGAATTATTCAAGATGTCCATTTCGGTCATTGTTGTTGTGTATTGGTCCATCACATCATCAACACACTCATAAATCAACTGGATAAAATTATTATTAGAAATGCCAAAAAGATAGAAAATCATTGTGTGTGTGAAACGAACAAAATTCTTGAGAATCCAAGAATTGAATAATAAAAAAGAAAATGAAAGAATTATCCTTGATCCATTTTTTGTTTTTCGACAATCAATCAATCAATCAGTGAATGAATGAATGAATGTCAGAGTTTAATGAATCAGAATTTAGAAAATTGAGCAGCAGCCGCAAATTGAAAAATTTTCTGTTGAAAAAAATTGAAAGGAAATTTCGTTTGTCGCTTCGTTTTTTTCAACTACCAAAACTTTTGCATGCTAAAAACGTTTTTTTCCAGTACATCCGGACTAAATATTCTGTTTTTTGTTTAAAAATTTGATTAAATCAAAAAAAAAAAAACGGAAATCAAAAACGCAAAAACGTTTTTTGCTCTTTGTCTGCAGCCACACATAATCATTTACGTAATTTTTTATTCAAATTTTTTAAAATTTTTTTTCAGAATTTTAACCAAAAAATCACGATGCTCAACAAATTATCAACATTAAAATCATCACAAACGTCATCATCATCATCATCATTGTCGTCGTCGTCATCATCATCGACAGCAAAAATGACCAATAATGGACAACAACAACCATTTAGCCGATTCATGTGGATATTTGTATTGGCTGTATTGGTCACTTATTTCGGTACATCATTTGCATATCCAGCTAATGTTGGCTTAATGATGACAAGGTAAAAAAGATGTTTTTTTAAAGGTTTTTTTGCTTTGAAATTTCGCATTTCTTCTTTTTTGATTTTCATTTCATTTGCTTGCTTGCTATCAACCCATCATCAACCCTTAAATAAATCGATTAAATTAAATAAAGATTGAGATATGGGTTTTCGAAAGAAGAAAAGAACTTTCTTTCTTTTTGCCATTTTAATTAGATTATATTGAATTTCACGATTTTAAAAATGAAGAAAAACGATTCTCCTTTCTTCCTTGTACAAGTTTTTCAAAGATTCAGATTTCAAACAACGAAAAAACTTCCGAAAAATTCTTCAGAAATTTCATTTAACTTTTCTCTTCATTGACAGAATGAAAAATCCAAAATGAAAGTTTAACACAAGAATCAAATTGATTTATTTGATTATCAACAACAATATTAGAGGGAAAAACCCCGATAATAATAAGGATAGATGTTTTGTTAGTAAACAGAGTTGTAAAAAACGAACCAGTTAGACTCCAAAACCGTTAGAGCTTTACCTTAAACATTGAAATTTTTGATTAAATTCTGTGGTGGTGGTGGTTGATAATTGATTACAGTAAGGGTAATAAAAAATGAAGTAGAATTTAATTCAATTATTCGATTGTTGTACGATTCTATTTTTTTAAATAGGAAATATCCTGTAAATGTTGAAGTAGAAAATCCCGAAGAATTAATCAGTACATTGGATAATTTGATTCAAAATATTTTAGTTGGTATTGATTCATCACATTTATCATCATCATCATCATCGAATAATAATTTACAACAACAACTTTCCGATAAAAATTCTGGACCAAATAAACGTGGAATTGATTTGGGATTATCTCGTGGATTTTCCGGTAGTCAAGCTGCTAAACATATGATGGGTATGTCAGCTGCAAGTTTTGCTAATGGACCTGGACGACGACGACGTCGTTAATCATATTCAGATCTCATCTAGATTTAACACTTAACACGCAAACATTGACCAAAAAAAAGCACGCTAAAACTCAAATTGTAGAAATGATTATTGTCGGAAATCACCACCAAAATAATAATAATCATCAGTATTATCATCGTGGTCATCATCATCATCATCGAAAAAATGAAATTAAACCTCTCTCTCTCTCTCTCTTGATTGATTGATCTTTGCTGTCGTTGATTTTAAACACCATACACCATACACACACACACACACACAAACCTATCAATCATTTATCTGGTTTTGCATCCAAAAATTATCATTTTGCGAAAACAAAAAATATGAAAAAATTAACCCTCCGTTAACTAAATAAATAAAAATGAATTAATTTACCAACCCGAATCATAGGTTATTGATTCAACACACACTTGCATCTATTTGATTTGATTTCTTTATTTTCTTGCTGTAAACCAAAAAACCAGAAAAAACAAAGACTGAAAAAAATGAAAATTTTGTTTGATGTTAATTTTATTGTGAAAGATTTGAAAAAATTTTATTTTAAAGTTTTTATTTTGTTGTTTATATTAAAACAAAAAACAAAAACAAAACAAATGACTTTTGATTTGATTTGATGTCCACACAATTTCCATTGATTCTGGTTTAATTTGCATTTTTTTTTTGAATCTTAAACTCGGTCTTGGTCTTGGAATCTTGCCAAATGAAAAAACAATGGAATTTTCGGGAAAAAATGGAAATTTCGTTTCATTTGAAAGAAAAAAAAAACATCATCAATGTAATGAAAAACGAATAGTTTTCTTTCATTCATTCATTCATTCGGTTGTTTTATTTTTCTCAAGAAAAACAACAACAACGACTGATTTTTTATGCATGAACAAAAAAAATAATCATCTTCATTTAAAAGATTAATGTTTTGTGTATGGGCGAATGAATAATGTTGAATATATGTATATTTCGGCCATTGTTCATTGTTTGATAATTTGATTTCAATTCTAAAGAATAAAGGGTGAAATGAATAAAATGAAATGAATGGGTTAACTTAATTTATTTTTTTTTATTTCAAATTCACTAACCTCTTTCTTTCTTTCTTCATCTTTGTGCAGAAAATTTCTTTAAAAAAAAATTCACCGAATTATAAATGTCATATGATCTGCGTACATTTTGTGTGCGGCCAGAATCCGTTTTCCACCATATCCGATTACAATGGCTTACCCTATATATACGGGAATCTCGTATAGAAACGAAAGAAAAAAGTTACATTATTAATAATATTTTCAATGGAAAAAAAACATCTTTAAGGTGCGAATCCCAAACAACTAATAAAAATTATCAGATGGCCCCTAGGCATTCAAGTTATCAATATTCACGATTGAATGTTTATCTTTGAGTGATGATGATGATGATAACATCCCCACCACACACTTAAAGACATCAAAAACAATCGTTTTCAACCATTTTCAAATGAAATGAAAATAAAGCCATTTTTCTCATCATTTTAAATTGTTTTTTTTTTCGTTTTAGTTCAGTCGTGACAAGAATACGTTCAATACGATTTGAAAACGAATAAAATTTACTTACCCCTCTCCATTATTCTTCATTTTCACTCCAAAATTCATTTTATCTGGGTCAATTTGATAAAATGATTCGAAAGAATCAACACGAAAATGTGAGCAAAAAAATAAATTCCTCGGCAACTTTTGATCATTTCATTACGTTGTATACGAGTGAGACGCATTCGAATATTAAAAAAATCGAACGTTTCGAAAAACGTTCGAATTTAAAATGTTCGAAAGAAAATTACCAAAATTTTTTTCTTTTTTCATTTTAAAAATTTTATTCAAAAAATTTCAACATTATTATTATCATCATTATCGGAAGATAATTCAAAATCTAAATGAATTTCATTATCAAAAATACAACAATAATTAAATTTTTCTAAACGAAATGGTCGTTGCTGTTGTCCCAAATTCGAATAATCTAATTTTATTTGTCCCAACAATTGAAAACTACTATTAATCGGTTGTTGTTGATTTAAACAACGTGCAACTGAAGTTAAATCAATTTGTTTTACATCTAATCGTTTTCGTTTCTTTAATGATGATACAATTTTTGTCATTAATCCTCTAATGGGAATAAATTTTTTCCAATTAATTTCCTGACGTCGTTTTCGTTGTTGTTGTCGATTGTCGATCGGATGAAACATGAAAAATATTTTTATTGTAACAATAAAGTCTTGTTTATTATCATCATTATCATCGTTGTCGTCATCGTCATCATCAATATTAAATATTTCATTAATATCAATAGTAATTGTATCATTCAATTGATCATCAATATCCCATTCATTGATGAATATTATCGGCTTTTCAATTAAACGATTTTCATGTTCCAATAAACAAACTAAAAAACATCCAGTTTGATCTTTGTTAATGTGATGTATGTAATTAAATGAAAACAACAACGACGAAAGAATTAAGCATTTAACACCATTCATCATTCTTCTTCTTACTTACCTCTAAGGAATATTTGTCTTAAACGTTTTTCATGTAATTTTATTGATAAACTTTTTATAGCTAAACATTTTTTCGATTTTTCATCAATCAAATGATGATTAGGCCAAAAATTCTTCAATAATTCATTATTACAATGATGATTTTGGATCTTGTTTGCGTAATTATTGTTGTTATTAATGATAAAATTATTTTTTGCTGATAAATTTAACATTTGAATTTGTCGTTTAATAAGTTGTTGTTGTTCACTTGAAATCAGTAAACATTTATGTGCATAAACCAGATTATCATAATATTTTCCCATACGTTTTTGTTTATCTAAACATTTTTGATAAAATTCTTTCAGTAAATTTGAAATTTGTCGTTGAACCAAATAAATTTCATGACATTTATTTTCCAGATAATGTTTTTCTTCTAAAATTTTTACAATTTCATTTCGAGTAAATTTTTTTTTCGATCGATTTTTATCATCATTAGACGACGATGATGATGATTGAATTTTATCACCATGTTCAAACATTGGTTGTTTTGAATCATAATCAATTTCATCAATCGAAATTGTTGACAAACTAAAATCATCTTCATTATCTGATGATGATTGATTATTTGATGCCGGTTTTGATTGTTTCGGTTTATTTGGAATTTCTTCAATAAGGCAAGGGGAAGGAAAAAAAATCAAATTGTGACCCTCATGTAAAACGAAGGGTTAAAAAAACTTACTACTTTGTAATTTAGCAGCCAATAATTGTTCTAATTTACTAAATTCATTACGTTTAATTTTATCTTGAATTCCTTTCAACAAAAATGATGGCGGTGATGGTGATCGGGGTGACGAAATTCTGCAAGTTGAATTCGAATTAGTTTTCACCATCATTGTCGATGCTGATGTTGATGATGATGATGAATATAAACTCTTTGGCAATCCGCCGCTACTGCTATTCATTTGATTCATTTTTTTAACCAAAGTTTTATTCAATAAATCATGAATTTTTGAAAAACGATCATTTTTCTGTTTAGACACTGTTGCTGTCGAAATAGACATCTTATTTCTTTTGTTGTTGACAAAATTAATAAACAGGATAAACAAACGGAAAATGACGAGGATGAAATTGGCAAAAACGAACGAACGAAAAAAATGATTTATTTGAATTTAATTTTCTTGGAAAAAAAATTGGCCAGAATTTAAATATTTGTTTCTCCCAAAAAAAAATGTTCGACAATTTCAAATGAAAAATTATTTTATTCAATTTATTTATTATTAGATTTGAAATTTGAAACACAAGATTTAAAACAGAATTTTGACACATTTACCAAGGAGAAAAAAAAATTTAAAAATATAAAAAATTTGAAAAATTTCTATCCAAAACTAAGACAAAAAGTTTAAAATCAGTATTTGTTTGTTAAAAAAAAACTAAAATTATAGCCCAAAATTTTTTTTGATGGATAAATTAAATAATGGTTAAGGACAAAAATTTTTCTTCTTCTTCAACTCCTCTCTATCAACATAAATTAAAGATCATTTGATCAAGTGTGCATAGTAGCAGTGTAATTGAGGGTTATTTAGACCGCGGAATTATAATAGAATTTTGCCTGGCAGAAATAAAATAACATTGTTTAAAATTTTCTTAAAATCAAATATCAAGTGTATATTCAGTGTTTCATTGACTGATATGTGATAACACTGGGTTAATAATTTTCCAAATGCTGATATTCAAAACCACCACCATTTTGAATAAATTGTATCATTTTCAATATTTTATCCAAATTTTCTTTACGCCATAAGTTATATGCATATAGATTATTAACACGTTGTGGATCAGTATGTTGTTCTTGATTAAAATCTTGATATTCTTTTGATGTTAATTTATAATCATTTAATTGTAGATCATTAACGATTTTTTCCAATGAAATCAGCAACCATTCAAAATTATATTTTGGTATTTGTAAATTATCGAATGTTTCATCAATCATTTGTGCAATGGAACCATTTCTGGCTAATAATTCAAAACCATAACCATCACCCATTAAACGATAACAACCAAATTTTGAAAAACGTTCCAATAATGTTATATGTGGTAGATAGGAAATGTTTTTCCTTTGTGAATTTTGACAATTAACAGCAGCAGCAGCTGATTCGGATGATGTAATTAAATCATTTTGATGGTTATGATGATTGTTGTTGTTGTTGTTTAAATCAAAACATTCATTTTTTATCAAATGAAAACCAGAATCAATACTTGTCGATGAACCGCCAAACATTTTTTTCGTTTTAATCAATGATAAATAACCACCGATATTTTCATTATCATCGTTATTATTATTATTATCGGCGGTTGTTGTTGAAGAATTAATCATTTTATTAAATAAAGATTTCATTATTTTATTATTACCATGACCGAAATCTTTAGCCAATTCGAATGGTGTTTTACCAAATTTATTCTTTATTTTTGTATTAGCATTACCAAAATTAATCAATAATTCGGCTGTACGTGTATGACCACATTGTGCAGCATAATGAAGTGCAGTATTGAATTCAAATGGTTCTTGATAATCAACGTTTGCATTCAATTCAATAAAACGTCGTACAGCATTTACATTGCCATTTCTTGATGCATATATCAATGCAGTATGACCATTTTCATCGATCGAATCTACCGGACTGCAGTCAACAAAATAACAATGACCACATGGGTAGAAATAGAAAAAGGAATAGGAAAAAAATTGATTCGAAAATTTTTTTTTTGTGAAATTTTGAAATTTTTAAAAAAACAAAAACAAATCTTACATGTTGAATGTTTGATGATAAGTATTGATCATTTCAATATTATTTTGGATTGCAGCATCGATTAAATGTTTTATTGATGATGATTGATAATGATTATTGTCACCACCAACACAAGCAGCAGTAACGGTTTTTATTTTCAACAATTTTTTATCATCCTGATCATCATTATCATTGAAATTTTTCGACAATTTATCATTCGATTGATAGCCATTGTTATTATTATTCATTATTTTACTTAAAAACAAATCAATAATTCAGACAAGGTGTGATGAAATAAAACAAACAAAAAAAATATTTTCGTATCGTTATAATTATAATTTAATTAAAAAAACAAAATATTAGCAAAAATAAAATGTGATGTGTGATGGACGAAAATGATGTGATGGACGAAAATCAATCACACACGCAAAAAAAAATGAATTTCAAAATTGGCTAAAATCGATTGAGAAATAAACGAAAAAAAAATTTTTGCTGCTTTATTTTCAAAAATGTCAAATATATTTAATTCAAGATGAAATCAAAAACATTTTATCAAACCCAAAAAAAGCATCGAATAGAAAATGAAAAGATTGGTTTTTATATCCAAACAGAAAACCGCCAAAATGAAAAGATTAATTGATAAAAAAAATAACTTAACTAAAATAAAATTTATGTTCAAATAGCATGATTTTGAAATTGACTAACGAAATAATTTGAAAAAATCCAAATGATTAATTTTCAATCAACTTTAGTCAATCAATCAATCAATCGATTGAAAGAATACAAAATTGTTCAAATTTGTCATCATCATCATTGACATCATTAATTTCATTGGCAAGACGTTTACAAGAATAACAATATTGGTCATCATCATCATCAGCAGATTTTTGTTTACCATCACCATCATCATCGTTTAATGATTGTTTTGATAAAATTGTTGTTAATTTCAATGCATCATATGATGAATATTCATCATTATTGTTGGATTGATTTTCAAGTTGACAAAAACAGAATTTACAACGACGACGTAAATTATCGACGGTTGTTGTTGTTGATTGAATTTTATTTCCAGTTTTAAAAACAGTATGTAAAGTTGATGGAAATTCATCCGAAATTGATGTTAAAAAATGTTCATTCAAACGATGTAAACTTGATTTCAATGGTAATCGGGTACTGGCGAAAAAATCCATTTTCATTACAAGATGATCGAGATGACGAAATTTTAGATAAAATGCCAATTCTTTATTGACCAATTCACATAATGGACGAAGTAATTTTTTCGAACCAAAACGATTATCACAGAAGTTTATTTCATTTGGTACCAGCGAACCACGTCCTAATGAAATATTATTGATCAAATCGATGGATAATTCATTTAAAGTGCTGGCAACAAAAACTTTATCCATATTCAGATGATTGGCGATTTTCATTAGAATTAATAATTTAAAACGTTTCAAGAAATCATATCTGGAAGTTGGGTTATGAAATCGTTCGATTAAATGAAGAAACCTTTGAGCCGATTCAGATTGATTATTTTCCTGAAAAAACGCTTGAAGATTTTCATATGTTATTGTATCATCATCGCTGTTTTGGATATGAATCATTTGCTGTGATAAATCATCATTATTGATGCAACATTGTAACGATATAAAATAACAATCAATCCGGGCATGATGACAAATAAATTCATAAAGTTGTTTGGTTAAAAATGATTTCGGTTGCTGTTCAGAATTGTCAAGAATGGATTCTGTGGACAAAAAAAAAACATTAAAATCAACAATCAAAATCAATCATCCAAGTGATTACCATCAATAAATAAAAGATAGGGTTTGAAACGAAGTTTTTGAAATTGTTGTTCATCCAATCCTCGGCGAATCAAATCAACCAAAGCAATCGAACTTAGACCACCGGAAAATCCAACAAGTATTCGATCATTCGTTTTGATTAGACGTGATTTTCCCAATGTTTGACGAAATGTTTTCGTACAATAATCAATCAAACAATCATTGCAGAAAACATCTTTTTTCTGCAATAAAACTTTGCCCGAATTTTGTTGACATTTTCGACAATTTATCTGATAATTTCTGGATTTTTTTTCAAAAAAACAATTATTAAATCCAGATTTGAAAGAAGATTTAACAAAATTCTTACGATTCAACAAGTTTCTTTTTGAAACGATGATAAACAATATTGTTGGATTTTTCTTCTTCACCAGAATCCAGACGATCACACATTTTTTTATCACTAAAATAATTCTTTTAAAATTCTTTTCCCAAAAAAATCAACAAAATTCCGAATTGATAATCATCAAAAAAAAACATGCGTAAATTCTTCGAAAAAGCTTATTCATACAATGTAAGTATCTTTGGGAAGAATTTTAATAAACTTTAACTTTTTATTTTTTTCTTTTGTAATTCCGTTTTCGATTTACAATTTTTTTTTGTTTGATAAAATAAATAAAATTAAACATTTTGATTATCATGGTTATTATAATGCAATTTTTGGAATGTAATTTTTTTTGAAAAAAATCAAATCAATCAGGTCAATATCGATCCATTTTGTTGATTATCATCGTCATCATCATCATTATGAAATCCATGATAATTTTTACGATTTTTTTGATTATTATTATTATTATGGTTTATAAGCATTAATTTGGTTTTTTGAAATAATTTTTGATTACTTTTCTTTCCTTGATTCGTCGTCGTCGTTGATCTATTGGATGATTCTTTTTTAAATAAATGTTTTTTGTTGCTGTCCTTGTTACATAATGATTGTTTTTCCGAATTGACATTGTTTTGTTGACGACGTTGTTTTTTATGTTTACGGCCAACACTACCTTCTTCAACATCGGCAAATATTCCATCATCATCATCATCACCATCAATATCGATAAAATAACGGTTATGATTTTTATTTTCATCAAATAAATCATCATCATCATCACCATCATCTGTATAATCATAAAGATTATCTCTTTCATCATCATCATCATCTTCATCCGATTCGGATGGTCGTCGTACAGTTTGATACCAACGATTAGTTAGATCAGTCATTTGTGATTTACAATCTTTTACTTCCTATAAATTTTTTTAAAAAGAAAAATAAATTTCAAAGTTATTTTCAATATCAACATACCTGATCGGTAAAAATTCTTGTAAACAGAGGCATCAAATATCTTGCATCAAAACGAACAAAACCTTTCAGATTTGATTCATTACGATAACTAACTTCTAATTCTTCTTCAGTTAATTCGGATAAATGTTCAGTTTCAATTGCTTGTCCCATTTCTTGTGTTTTACTTAATGTTATTAAACGATTATTTGATTTGGATTTGGAAATACCACCACGACGACGACATCGACGACCTTTACGATTAATACGTTGTTGATGTTTATTTCGATTCATATATTTTAATACAGGCATTGTTGAACTACCCAGAATAATAATGGTAAATAATACGATAATCAATGTTGTGGTTACAATAACACGACGTTTTTCTTCTTCAAATGCTAAATGTAGTGCTAATGCATAAGCAATAGCACCACGTAAACCACTAAACCACATTACAAACATCATTTTCCTGGAGATTTTATGTTCACGAAAATAATTAACCAAATATGAAAGTGGATAAATATTTAAAGCTCGACCAATTAAACAAAGCAATATTGACCATATTATTAATGACCATTCAATTTTCATTTTAAAACTAAATATAGCCAATCCAAGATAGGCAAACACACATGTTTCTGTCAAACAGAAAATAATTTTAGAAAAAATTAAAACAAAAACAAAAAAAAGAAAGAAATTACCAGCAATAAATGCCAATGTACGTAATGTTTGTTGCATTGTAATTTGTGTAACTGGTGATAGATTAAAATGTGCATAATGTGACATAACAACACCATTGAATAGGATGGCCATAATACCGGAAAGATGTAGACCTTCAGCTAAACCATAAGGTGCATATATTAATATTAACATCATACCAAATTCCAGTGATGGATGTTTCCTTAGATCAATATATTTAAAAACTAATGCAGCCAACAATGCAAATGAAGCACCAATAAATGCTGAACCAAAAAATACAATAAAAAAACGTACAAATCCATTGAAAATGGCTGCTGAACCTGATACTGTATCATCTAAATGATTTAATTCTAATGCAGTAGTAGCCAATACAATTGCAACAGCATCATTCAAAATACTTTCACCAAAAACCAACATATTCAGTATTGGATCTAGATTAAGGGCATGAAATATAGCCAATGTTGCAACAGGATCAACTGCTGATATCAATGATCCGAATGCAAAACTTTCGGTAAAACTTAATCGATAAACTAAATTGATTGCACCAAGAATATAGATACCACCACCAATGATGAATGCAGAAATTGAAGTGCCGATTATTGCAAATACTAAAATCGAACCAATATTTTGAAAAAAATTTCCCTTATGTAATGTATAACCAGATTCATAAATGATTGGTGGCAAAAGAATTAAGAAAAACATTGTTGGACTTAGCGTTTCTTCTTTCTGTTTGGTTTTTGATTTAAAAAAAATTACAAATGGGAGAATCCATAAAACGAAACGAAACAAAACAAACCTTCCAATCACCAAGATTTTGACTGGACATTTTCATTACTAATCCAATAGCGGCACCTAAAAATACAACCGCTAAACTTTCAGGAATATATTGAAATTTTGTTTTCAATATAAAATGAATTAGAAATATACAGGATGCAATAACCGATAGTACGAAAAATATTGCCATCGATGAATGTCGTTCTTCTTCTGCTGCACCTTTATGCGGCAGATTTGGATCAATCGATGAGGATTGCGTTGACGGTGTTTGTTGACTAGTCGAAGAAGTTGCATTATTAATATTTTGAGTTGAATTTGTTGTTTGATTTGCAACGATAGAATCATTTAAACCGGGAATTAAGGTCGGCATTTGCAACGTAGAATTGGAAATTATCGTCGAAGAATTGATTAAAGATAAATTATTGATCGATGTTATCGTTGTTGCAATTGGCACAATTGTTGTTTGACTAGATGATAATGGTGTTTTGGACAAATTTTGTATCAATGACGGTGATTGTGATAAAATTTCATTCGAATTCGTTTCATCACAGTTAATCGAATGGACATAGTAAATAAATAATATTAATAGTAACAAAGATTTCTTTAACATTTTTGATGATAATGATGGCCAATATTGTTGAAAATGAAAAAATACTTTTTTCTTCTTCGATTGATCCATCATCATTCGAATCATTTGACGAATGAAAATTTCAAAGAATTTATTAATACTTTTTTTGTTCAGTCATCATCAGTGTCCTTGAAATGAGAAAGTAATGTTTCTTTTTTTCCTTTTTTTTTCGCCAATCTTTAATCTTTTAATTGATTCTTCATGCAGCAAACGAGAAAAATTTCGTTGATAATCTTTTTTACTAAATTAATCCTTACATTAAGTAAAAAAAACACCGAGAAAATAAAAACAAAAACAAACAACCCGAAAAAAAACAGACTAACCAAAAAAAAAAAAAAAAAAACTTCTCATTGATCGATTGGCCTAAAAAAGCGCTTGCGTATTACGAAAGTATTTTTTCAAAAAATTTTCCATATTGACAATTTATTTGGGGGGAGTTCTCTATCCTCGTCGTCATCATTATCACCATGGCCTAATGATGATAATCTCATTGTCTTTGTCTTGGCTGTTATTATCCGCTTTTCCGTTCTCAAACATTGAGATGACGAGATGACGACAAAAAAAAAGGAAAAAACAAACACAAAGATAATTAGCTCATGATAATTATAATCAGTCAATGGATAAAACCTAAATAACGACTAAAAACTGAGAAAAAAAGGAAAAGAAAATCTTCGATCATAAATTTCGATGCAGCAACAAAAAATATTTAAAAATTTAAAAATTTAAAAAAATTATGACCGTCCGACAATGTCCTGGAATATATGAACAGATCATCAAACCAGAAATTTTTTTTTCTTCGAGCGCGAAGAACCTGAACCAAAAAAAAAAAAAAAATGAAAAGTGAAAAGTGAAAAAAAATACGCGCCACTTTCAATCAACAAAATTTTTACCATGCAACATTCGAATTGCGCATGTCATTTTTTTTTGCATTTTTTTTTTCTTAATTCGAAATTGCTATTGATCGATTGATGAGCAGCAATTGCTCATCGCTCACCCTCTCATTCACTCTCTCTCTCTCTCTCTCTTTGTGCATATTGCTATTGCTCACCCTCATTCATTGAGTCGAACAAAAAAAAATACAGCTGAAAATATAAACAAAAGAAACCTTGATTTTTTTTTTGGTGTGAAAAGAAAAAAAAAATTCTGAAAACAGAGAGAATATTCTTGCGCAAGTTAACAAGAATTTCATCATTTTTTTTTTGTTTTGACCAAAACTCACTACTTCTACATTCTTTGTTTATGTGTGTTTGTCTGTATGTTATGATGATGATGATGATTGTCAAACAAAACAAAACAAAACAAATGTAGATGTATAAACATTGTTTGCAACCATTGCATTGTTGTTGATCGTTGATTGTCATAAAATTTGTATTTTATTTTTCTTGTAATTTCCCTTTAATATTTAAAAAAAAAGAAAAGAAAATAATCATCATCGTCAAAACATTGAACATTTTATTTTATTCTTATTGACAACAACAACAATCCACATGTGTCATTTGATCATGTTTTTGTTTTTGAATGTGAAAAAAAAGGAGTAAATCACATGATTTGATATCAATCGACAATAACAACAACTATGCATTTGATTTCTATTTAAAAATCTTCTGTAAATCTTTCTCTCTTTCATTTTGTGGTCACTTGACAATGTTGACTTGAATTTTTTCTCCAAAAAAATAGCAAAAATTTTCAATCAAACAAAACATTAGAATTTGTTTGTTCAAAATGTAGTTTTTAGTTTCATCATTTATCCATCAACATATATTTGTTCATAAAATTATCATTATCTTTTGCTGTTGATAAAATGTCTTCATCACATCAACCATCATCATCGACAATAGCTACAACCACTGCCATCATATCCGGTAATAATGATGGAAGTGGTAATAATGGTGGTGGTGGTAGTTTGAATTCTACAGGTCAACATCTTCAACAACAATCACATGTTGTGACACTTGTTGGTGATCATCAATTACAACAACAACATCAACAGATAATACAATCAACAGAATCGGCTCAAATTCATTCACATCAACATCACCAGCATCATCATCATCATCAATTACAACGTTCAGCATCAACTGGTTCTGAAATACAATTTCGAACATCATCATCGATTGATCAACAAACATCATTTTCATTTAGTGATCATATTGATGATGAAAATGATCTATTTGAATGTGGAAAATGTAAACAACATTTTTCCTATTTACAATTATTTGTACAACATAAAAAAATTTGTAATAATCGACTGCAGCAACAACAACAACTTTCAAAAAATAGTACATTATCTACAAATAGTGAAAAATTAAGAGAATTAGCTGAAATTGAATTACATTTGGGTATATCACAACAGCAGCAGCCACAATTGATTCATCATCCTGGTGGTGGTGGTGGTCATCTTAGCCATCATCATGTTCATCATTCAATGGGTAAATCACTTTCATCAAATTCATCACCATTGTTAATTTCAAGCAACAATAATTCACCTACCTCAATGATGACTACATCCTCCGGTAATGGATCAGGCCATATATCTAATAATCCATTAGTTGGTGGTGATTTAAATATCATAAATAGACAACAACATCATCATATGGGAGGAAATAGCCATTTAAATCGTTCATCACCATTAATTGATTCATTGAATGGATCATCATCATCGATTAATGTTAATAATATGGTTTTACCTGATAATGATTTACTTTCATTAACATCATCATTAGATGCAAATATGATTGCCAGTATTGGTAATTCAATATCACCATCATCATTATTGCATTTACATGGTGGTGATGTTAGTTCAAATACTGATGATTTTGCACAATTTGCTCATCTAAATCATGGATTAGATTCGAATCAAGAATCAACTTTGAACGATATTGTTAATCAACAACAACAACAACAATCAAGATCTATTGTTTCGATTGGTAACCACTATGGTGTTCATTCATCATCATCATCATCATCAACAACAATAAATGGAACATCTGATCCAACACATTCGATGTTAATTTCTTCAGCCAATTCTTCTTCCTTATCGAATGCTATTGATACAGGTGTTCATCATCATCATAATCAACAACAACAACAAACGCAGCAATCATCCGTTAATGTGATCAATTTTATTAATACAATACATAATAACCATTCACCAACATCATCATTTCAATCATTCATACAGAATATTACCTCTTCTAACGATGTAAATCTTGTTGGTGGTGGTAATAGTAATGGAGGTTCACGATCATCATCATCATCATCATCGTTGCTCAAAACATCATCATTTGATACAACATCAATTGGTGATATTGTTGTTGATGGTGGTGGTGTAATTTCGAATGATAATAATAATTCAATTGGATCTCCTTCACGTTTTCTTAATTTACCTCCACCATCATCATCATCCACACAACCAAGTAGTATTATTGAACATCGACCAAATCAAATTGCGTCTACTGTTCGATCAACACAAACTTCTTCGCCATCCATATCAAACGAAATTCATCATACGAATAAACCACAACAACAACAAACATTGAATGTGATCAAACATCATTCCCAGCAGCAACAACAACAATCATCATCACAACAAACTATAATGATTAATCAAGATTCACAGACATTTAACCCGAACCAACAATCATCACAGATGACAACAACTGCCGTTGAATTATTTAAATGCAATTTTTGTGAACGTAATTTTTGATTTTCAATTTTTTTCAATTTGAATTTTAAAATGTTTGTTTTTTCTTTCACCAAATTCTAGGTTCATATACAAAAAGTATCGAATTGGCTAATCATATGCCTTGCCATACCGGGGAGAAACCATATCAATGTTGTATATGTGGAAAAGCATTTGGACAAAAAAGTATGAACAATTTTTTTTAAAAAATCTTTGATTCTAAACAATATCTTTTCTCTTTAAATACAGATAATCTTCGTAAACATATCATGACACATAAAGTAACTAAAGAACAATATCAAACTGCATATAAAACTTCAGTAGATCAATCGTTGAAAAATATGCCTAATGTTGGTATGAAGAATAAAATAACATCAAAATCACAGCAGCAACAACAACAACAACAATCATCATCAACAGTTCAAACGCAAACAACAAAAGTAATAGCTACAGATATGGCTATTAACGAAACTGTTATCTATATTTGCCCGTTGAAATGTGGTTTTCAATCGGAAAATTTTGAAATATTAAAAGTACATTGTAATGCTGAACATCCGAATCAAATTAATGATGGTTCTTCTTCGTCTTCTTCAATTACCACTGATCTTCAACAACAACAACCACAACCAACAATAACACATCCAAACAATAATCCTTCTCATCAAAATATTCATCATATCGTTACAAATCAAGAAACTTCAACAAATTCATCAAATTTTCTAAATTCTAGTCATCAAACAAATCAATCGAATATGACAACGATATCAATAAAACAAGAATTACCAAGTGATACTTCTATTTATCAATTATCGGCCACTATACCACCTTCACAGCCAACATCGACCATTATCAATCAATCAACATCATTGTTGGAACCAATAAAAGTACAAGATAAATTTACCTGTCCAGTAACAAATTGTGGATTTGTTAGTACAAAAGAAACTGAATTTAAAATGCATTGTGTTGATCATACTGTTGCTAATGATGAAAATATTCGATATCGTTGTACAGCAAATGAATGTAAAGAAAGTTATAATAATGTTGAATCATTTATCAAACATTTACAATCACATGACAAGGCCAATCAATGTAATAATAACACTGAAACTGAAGTGCAAAGTGGTTCCAATGAATCAATAAGAGCCAAATCAAGGTATTTGATTTTGATTTTTCAATTTAAGAATTTATGAATAATTTTCTTTTTTTTGAATAGAATTTATCGATGTTCAATTTGTTTGAATCGATATACAACGGAAAATGCATTGGAAAATCATAAGGCAACAACATCACATCATTATCCTTGTCAACATTGTAATAAAATTTTTCCTTGTGAACGATATTTACGTCGCCATTTATTGACACATGGTGCCGGATTATTCATTTGCAAATATTGTGATAAATCATTTAAAACGGCAAATTATTTAAAAGTTCATTTGATAATACATACTGGAGAGAAACCATTTGCATGTAAAATTTGTGATGCAGCATTTAATCGTCGAGATAAACTGAAACGACATGAATTAGTACATGATCCAATCAAACGTTATAAATGTCCAATGAATAATAATGGTTGTAAACGTGAATTTAATCGACCGGATAAATTAAAAGCTCATATATTGACACATTCAGGTGTAAAACCATATCAGGTGAGTTTTTTTTTGTTTTTCCGTGATGCCAATGACTAATTTTTTTTCTGTTTAGTGTACGATGTGTACACGTTCATTTACACGACGAGCACATCTTCGTGAACATAGTAAAACACATCAAGAAGTAGTGAATGCTATAATCAAAGCAAATCAAGAAAAACAATCACCAAATTCTTCACCCAACAATAACAACAAAACAAATGTTCGTAACATTGAACATGAAACAGTATTAAATTCCAACAACAATAACAATCAAACTTCGGAAAATGAATCCAAAAAGGAAACTAGCAATTTAGTCACAAATTCAATAGATCAATCAAAAAATACTGAAAAGAAATCGATTGATGATAATAATAAAGGTTCGATTTTTACAAATGATCAATTGACAATATCGGATTGTTCTTCTGTTGCTCCTTCAACTACAGCCCAAACAACAGCAACAACGATTTCCAAGAATAATAATAATGGCAGTATTATTTTATTTACCGGTTCATCTCTTCCGTTAACAACATCATCATCATCGTCGCCTAATCAACAACAAATAATACCGTCCACTGATCATCAAATGCATCATTCACAATTATCATCATCATCAACTACTTTGACTACCTCATCATCATTATCATCTACATCTCAACAACAAAAACAAGATACAACAACAACATCGACGACAACAACAAATATTCATTATCAACAACAAGATAATAATAATACTCAACAAAAATTATCAACAACAGCCAATAACAATAATAATAATACTAGCACATCATTTCAAACATTTATTTTACTTTATTCTTGTCCAGTTTGTGAAGCTTATTTTTTCAAAGAAGAAGAAATTAAAGCACACAAATGTTGTGCAACAAATACATTATCAGCTTCCGCAATTGGTATCGGTAAAAATAATATTGTCGACAATAGACAACAACAACAACGACAAACAACAACAATGCAACCATTATTAGTTCCAGTTGATCAGCAAATATCATCAACAGATAATAGTGGCCGAATAAATATAGTGACTAGTTCTTCAAACACAACAACAACAACAAATAGTGCAGCTTTTAATGTTAATCCAACTAATATTTGTAAAATGGAAATTGAAGCCGATAATCATTCATCAATTTAATCAATGAATTGCCAAACTAACAAACAAACAAAAAAATCCGTCCAGAAATTCCTTTTCATGTGGAATTCTTCAATCTCACCTTGAATCTTGATCAAAAAAACAAAATCGACAGAACTTTATTGATTTGGTCCGTTTGGAAAATTATTCATTCCAATTATCAATAATATTTTTAAAAAACATCTTTTTTTTTGTTTGTTGGAAACAATTATGTAGAAAATGTATTTATTTTTTTCATTATTTTCATTATTATAATTATATAATTTGCAACAAACAAACAAACAGTAACAATTAAATTATTTTTCTAATGATGATTTGTGTTTTAATTGATTAAAAATTATCAAAAAGAAAATGGAGTGTTACGAAATTTAAAAAATTATCTAACTTTTTTACCAAAATCAAATCAACTTGATTTTGGATTAAAATGTAATGCTTTTGTTTTAGCTGCTAAAATATTTAATTCTTTTTCAAGAAATTTCATCAAACGAATTCGTTTTTCAGTTAAACTAAGTTCAATCGTTGTTGTTGATGATTGTGATGTTGTTAATGAAGATGATTTTGTTGTTAACGTTGACGTTGATTGACTTTCATCATCATCATTTTGTGAAAATAATTTCATAAGAAAATTTCTATCAATACGAATTGGTCCTTCAGGTCTGACTAGAAATGTTACACGACAAAATATTCTTGGTATATATGGTTTTTTTGTTGGTAAAACATCATCCATACCAAAATGATACATAGGCAGTACATCAACTTCAGGTAATGTTTCATCTGATTGATTCGATTTCGATGATGATGGTGGCAGATCAGAAATGCTACTAAATTCTTCCAAAGGTTTTATCTGATGATATTCATCATCTTGATCTTTTCCTTCGGATAATACATGTTCAATAATTAAACGTGCCATACCCCATTTCAATGAGTATTGTTGTTGTTTATCTGATAATGATGTTTTATCATCGTTGTTGACTAGTTGTTGTTGTTGACTTTGATCATATTTACCATCAACAAGAGTAAAATTCAATAATTTTGGATCAGCATTTTCTGGTCGTGGAATAACTTTTCCTTCGGGAAAAAAATGTAACCATTCACCATCGCGCATTAATTTTGAAGCATAATTCATTGCTGGTTGATATATTCCTGTATATTTTTTGGGAAAAAAAATAAAAAATGAATTTTCATTTGAAAAATTTTGATTTAAAAAAAACTGATTACCATCACCACGAATCATTGGAAATGTTTTACCCAGAGCAAAAAATGTTGTATAAATTGGTGAATTGAAACAGATTTCAGCTGCAGCCGATGTCCAACGTAAACGATTTGAATTTAAAAGCCAATTAAATGGCATTAATGATCCCCAAATTAATGGATCATCCATACACGAAGTATGATTACAATATGTTATCAATGGTCGTCGTGGTAATTTGGATTTTTGAGATGATGAAGAAATTAATGCCAAATAATTTCGATTAAGTGTTTCATTGAAAACATTTGCATTATAAACAGTACTTTTATTTACAATATTCATCCAAAATTTACTAAATAATCCAACAATTGGTATAATGAAATGTGATCCAATATACCAACCAAATGATGGATTATCAGTAGATAAAAGTGTTGGCCATTTATAACGATAATGATGTTGTTGTTTTTCTAATGATGATTTTGGTGATTTTTGCTCAAGCTCTTCTTTAGATAGATTTGTTGGCTGATATTGTTGTTTGTTTTGTTTCATCATTGTCATCAATATTATTAGACATTAATTTGATCAAAAGAAGAAAAGAAAATGAGAAATGAGAATTTTATTTACAAAAAGCAACAAACATAATGTTTATACATGTGCACCCACAACAACAACAAACAACAACTCGTTCTCATTCATATTTTTTATATATCTCACCATCGCGATCGTTGGTGTGTAAACAAAGGCAAAAACCCGTCCACGTCTAACGTTATTAAAAATTCCATTCAAAACATTCAAGTTTTTTTTCAACAAAATAAAACTTTACAATTAAATTAAGAAATTATTGTAAAAAATTTTATATTTACAAATAATAAACAGAAAAGAAAATGCAATTACAAAATTACACAAAAAAAGGCAAACATTTTTTTTCGTTACATTATTTTCAAAAATTGTAAATCAAAGTGTAAGTTCAATATCATCATGATTAGTGGTCGTTGTCGTCGTCGTGGATGAAATATGATTTAATAATTGATTATCTTCAATATTTGAATTTTGACGATTATTAATTAAACCTAAACGTCTAGCATAATATTGTATCATACCATAACGAATTCCATAATAATAAATTATAAAACTTAAAAAACCAATTATAGCCATAGCCATTGAAATGCTCATTATTAATTCTATATAGATTTTCAATGAAAAAAAAATGTTAAAAATTTGGAAAATTTGCCAAAAAACAAAATACATACTTAGATTGGAATTTGTTTGATAATTTACAAGATTGGATAAATGATCACTTTGTGGTAGTTGCATATTGTTTTTAGTTACTATTGATCGTTTACAATGATTTGAATCACGACAAACACAATTTCCTAATCGTTGACCAATTGGTATATCAATATGATGATGATGATCTTTTGAATGATTTTGATTTTGATTTTGATCATCTTCCAATTCGATACAATCTTCATCATCATTGCACTTGAATAATTGGCCAATTATACAGAATGTTGATAATTCATCATTGTTTAGATCTTCGAATGCTAAATTGCCAATCCAAAAATTGAAAATGAACAAACAGATCACATCAAAACATCACCGAAAAAAACTTACCATTAATCTGTACGATTTGAAATGATGACCATAAAATTGAAATAAAAACAAATATTAAAATCACAGAATTGATTATGTAATAATGATTATTATGGTTGTTATTGACCAGATTGATTGCCATTGACATTATACTATGATGATGATTATGATGATGATGAAATGAATGACGATTTTTATTCTTTTTTCTCATTGTTTTTTGGATAAAAATCACTATTTTTCTGATGTTGAGCATCTAATAATAACAACAAATATCATTATCATTATTGGTTATCGTTGTCATTGAATTTGTTGTTGTTGTTGTTGGTTGATTGTTTGTCAATTGACAATCAATTAAATTCAATTGTCGTTTTCGTTTTTTTCTTATTATTGAAAAGTTTCCTCAATTTTTTCCTTTGAGTGAATAATAGGGAGTTATATTCGGAGAAGAAGATGAAATGACAAAAAAAAAATCAAAGACGTAGAAATTCAATCGAAAATGTTGATAGCAAGGAAAAAAATCGATTGAATTTCGTTTGAAATGATAAAAATTGAGAAAAATGAATGAAATGATGATGATAATCAACCAAGATTGTTTTACATTACATTACATTGAAAAAGCTGCAGCCAAGTTAGTCAATTTTCTGAAGAAAACGATGATAATTGAAAAAATTTGGTAAAATATTTTTTTGGTAATTTTTGCATGGCGCCAATGAATGGAGAGGTTTTTCTTCTTCTGGTTGTTGTTTGAAGCATGCTATTAAAACATTTGAGAGACAAATGTAAAGACTAATGTCACTCAAACAAACATACACTGATAGTTCTTACCACCTTACCACCTTTAAGAATAAGATATTCGCGGAGAAAAGTAAAAGAAGAAAAAAAAATACCCAACATTGTCCAGTGTCTTGTGTGGACATATAACACATACAAATGGCCGCGGCTAAACTGAGCTGAAAAAAAATGAAAGAATTTCGACTGGAAAACCAACCACCAGATGGTGGCATAATTCAATAAAATTTCAATATGGATTCTTTCATTCGACAACAACCAACAAAAAAAAAACAAATGATTTCCGACAAAGATTCGATTTTCAATTTTCAAAATTTATTCGATTCAATATAAAATATATAAATTATTGGTTTTGTTTTTTTGCATTTGATTTGTTTTGTTTGATTTGTCAAACCAAAATGTATGACAAAATAATATGTGTTTGGTGTGGTGGTAAGGATTAACAAAAAGAGGGGATTTTTTTTTGAAAAAAAATTCGAATGAATCGTATTCGAATGTTTCGGACACATTTGATTGATGCTGGTGATTCTGGTGTTGATTGATGGTGATTTCTTTTTGGCTTTTTGGTTTTTTATAATTCTAATTAGTTTTTTTTTGTTCTTTTTTTTTGTTCTTCATTTAGTTGTTTGCAAATACCCATTTTTCTAATTGTGTTCCTTTATAATCCGGATTGTTGCATGCAACACGAGCCAAACTAATAATACCGGCTGTTACTTCGGGTATATTTTTTCTTTCAAACAAATCAACTGTTCGAAACAATTGATCATGTGGAACACCATAATCTTGTGCTGCTTTTAAAAATTTATTAATATTCTCCATAAGAATATAGGCACTACCACCGGAAGCAAACTGAAACAAAAAAAATAAAAAGAAAACAGTAGGTAATCAATCAATCGATCGATCGATAAAAAATGAATTATTATTTTTACAATAAATAGATAATCGATAATGAAATTTACTTACCTTATCGATTGCTCCTGGTTTGATTTTGTTCATCAATTTACACAAAACAACACCATCTTTTAATATTTCTTCATATGCAATACCTTCAGGTACTTTTTCACCAATATTTTCAAATATCCAGCTAAGTAATGCTTGTTCAACATTTGGTGATCGTTTTGATGCAGTTTTTGCTGTAACAGCTGCTTGAATACCATAATGGGCCATTTTTATTTTTGTTCAAGTTGATCTTTCAAGTTTCAATCAAACAGATTAAGAAAAATTTTCAATGATTTTTGTAGTAAACAAGCAAAGAACCTAATCAAGAATGATCTGGTTGATCAACAAAGTTAATGTCTAAATAATCTTTTTACAAAGATCTGGGTTTGGTTTTTAGTTCGTTGCAACAATTTTAAATTGTTGATGAAAAAGAATATAATGTTTTTTTTTCTGGCTAGAATATTCTACCAACCACAAGAAAAGAGAAGCAATCCACAGAAAAAATAGAAGAATATTCTTCTTGTTGTTTATCTTGTCGTTCGTCAACAGAATTGCTCTATTTTTATTATACGAAAAAAAACAAAAAAAAATTCAAATTCTTGAATGAATTTTTCTTTATTTTTTTTGTTGTTGTTGCTTATTGCTGGTGGCAATCATCATCATTTCTCACCGAAAAAAAGGTTTCTTTCTTTTCATCATTCAGTAATAATAGTGATTTCTATATTCATTTTCGTTGTTTAGATTGGCAAAAAACAAAACAAGAAAAATTGGCAAGAATTTTGTAATTGAAACACTCTGAAGAATCAAGTCTAAAAATATCGAAAAAAAAACCGAGAAAATTTTTACATAATCACCAACCGCAAATATAAATCCTATGTATTATGAATATCCAAATGCAATTCGCGTACGTTCAACTTGATATCATTATGAACAAAAAAAAGTATTAAATAATGCTAATCTTGCAATTAATCAACCAAGAAAAAATAGAAGATCAAAAAATATTGACCCTAAAACCACACTGATCACATCATTTGACGCTTTAGTCATCAGACGTCAGCAAATGAAAATTTTGACAATAAGAAAATTTCCAGTTACTTTTTCTTTTTTCATTCTCTCTCTTTCTCGAAAAAAAAGAACATAATTTGAATATGAAACATTTTCTTGTTTGTTTTTTTTTGTTCAACCTCGTTGTTGTAACAAAAAAAAAATTATTTTAATTCAAACAAAATTATGCATAATGGAATTTTGACACACTGCCTTTTGGGTATTTGTACCATTTAGAATTTGGGGAAAAGAAATTCATTTAAGAAAAAATGTTATCGATGAATAAGTTACTTTGATTTATAAATGAAATGAATGAATCCTTTTTGGTGTAATAATATTTATCATTATAATGATTATAAACGACAAAATCTCAGATGAAATGTCAGTGAAAATGATGATGATTTTCTAGTTGCCAAATATAGATTCATTGCGATGAACGATGATTATGTCGAATAAACATTTCATGTGTTTATTATGGATAGAATTTTGTTTTTTTTTGCTTGCAAACATCATCAACAACAGCGAAAAAACAAGTACAACCGCTACATATTTCAATGAAATTAATGAAACATTTTTGTTTGTTTGCCACTCCCCATCCCCATCATCATCCCATCCTCATCAATATTGAAATAAACACCCACGATTCATTCAATAACAAGTACAAAAATGAAACATCCGAAAATTAATGAACAACAAGTCCGATTACAAGTTGAGCGAGAAAACAAAAAATTCCTTCAATACACACACACTCATTGCATATTCATAATATATTTGTTTGTCGAATTTGTTTGTTTTTTCTTCATTTCATTTTCAATTCAAAAAAACATATACCAAATATGTCAAACGTAAAACAAAACAAAACAAGACAAAATTTTCTTATTCAATTTTCGAAAATGTATTACACACACCTAATGATGAAAATGACGAAAAGATTGAGAAATATTTATTTATTTTTTTCTTGTTTGTTTTGGTGAGAAAGAATATTGAAAGAAAGAAAATATATTTACGCCAACGATTTGCTAATGAGAAGAAGAATATATTCCACAAATATTTATTTTGTTTCAAGCGAAAAAAAAGTAGGCTAAAAAGAATATTGAATTCAAAATTCGATGAATTATTCTGCGATACAAATCAGGAAAAAAAACTGGAAGCAAAAACTAAAAAACTAAAATGTGTTTGAATGCAAATATGTATTACTTATTATCAATCAATCGATCGATCATCATTAAATAGATTTATTTAGATAATAAAGAATCAGATGATTGATTCAAATATATTTCCATTTTCATTTCCAGATACCATTAGTATAATGATGAAAATAATACCGTGAATACCATTTTCAACTGGTTGTTTGTTTGTTCCAGGTTACTGGTGATCACATTATCATCTTTGATGATTTTGATTGATTTTATTTATAGAATCAATGCAAAAATGTCACAAGATTTGCAAAAGTTTCTTTTGAATAATTTTTGCTTCTCTTAATCAACGAAACAAAACAAAAAAATTTAATAATGATGACAAACAAACCAAACAAAATCAATTAAATAGTTAATTGATGAATCAAGTTAATCAAAATATTGTTCCCGTTTTTTTGGGTGAAGCCAATAAAAATTTCATTATTTAGTCAAGTCCAAATTTTCCCTTCATAATATTATTGAATTCTCTTTTGCCTGATGCGATGATCATTGAACGATTGAATAACGAAAATTTCATTTACAAGAATAATAACATTACCCATGATGTGGTCATCATCATGATTTTCGAAGGTGAAAAAAAATTAAGATTAAATGGATGAGGGGTTCAGTTCTTTAACCTTTCTTGTGAAAAGGTTTTTTACCTTTCCTTTTTTTTGTTGTTGTTTTGCCACTTTCACAGTCGTGAATTGACCATTTTTTTTATAAAAAAACTTCCTAATAAATTATCTGTCGAAAACAAAACACAAAAAAAAAATATATTCTCCCTCTACACCGATCTTACTATAGAAAAACTTAATCAATGATGTTCATGTCCATTTTTTTTCAATGGACAAAGTAGCCAAACAAAATACATACGGTGTTTGCGTATTTCGTCCACATTTATATATAGCGTATTTAGCATATAAAAAGACCAATTTTTTATTTTGTTTTTTTCTCATTCAAATTGAGAATTTGATAATGACCATAATCATTCATTCATTCATCGTTCAATCAAAATCCATTTACGGACATAGACACACACACACAGAGAAGTACATTGAATAATTTTCCCGTTCGATAATCATCATTTATAGTAGTGATAACGATCGAATCGAATCGAATCAATTGATCGATCGATCGATCAAACATCGAAGGAAAAAATCACATCAAATGTATAAACCTTAAACAACGGTTTAATTAGTGACCATAGTTCATTATCATCATCATCATCGTTCTATGATTATCCGGAAGAATTTTTTTCCATTTTTTAAATCAAAATTAAACACACACCGGTTTACATTGTCCATCATTCATTCATCGAATCGGTTCATTCGCCCGATCAAAGATTCGGGTAGTATATAAAAACCCAACTGAGATAACTGTTTTTATTCTTCGAATCAAAGATACAATCATCATCATCATCAACAACATCAAAATTTTCATTTCAAATTGACTTTTTTAAAATTATTAATTATCATTCATAATGTACATTATAAAATATTCATTAAATGTTTGGTTTTCATCATCCTCATCTTCATCATCTTCGTCATATTGGATTTGGTTAACATTAATATCATCATTTTTGATCAATAATTTGATATCGGCTGAACCGGCTTCAGCTGTTGAACGTGTTAATTGTCGTCGTGTTGTATTTCATCCATATTGTCGTGGTATTAGCGCTAAACGATCATCGTTAAAATTAAAAGAGTAAGTTCTTTTTTTAAAATCGATTTAATCGATTTTTAACAATCGATTATTTTTCATCAGTGCATCGGATAGGCCAAATTCCGTTGAAAATTCCATCAAACAATCATTACCAAAAATTTGGCAACAATTATTGATACCGAATACAAGACAAAAAATTTTGGAACGATTTCACATGGATAATGTAAGTCTAAATAATAAAATCCGAATTTCTGATCATAATTTTTTTTTTAATCATGAAATAGTCTATTCCACGAACAATGAAAGCATTCATCATTGACAATAATAATAATATGGCTGATCATATGACAAATCATTCGGATGATCAAATGGAACAAACAGATTCAAATGATTATGAATTCATTAGAAGAACGGAATCATTTCAAGTTCCACCATATTTATTTGATGCTCATCAAATACAATCGTCATCGTCGTCGAATGATGAACGAGCAATAAAATCATCATCTGAATCAACAGCAAACAATAACGATGACGATGAAATAAATCGAGAAAAAAATCCACAAATGTTTCACATACGAATGGTTACTTATCCAGAATTTATGCAATTTTTTTCACGATTAACACCACCATCGACAATATCCCAACATCCATCCAAGTTATAAATGTAAAGATTTTTTTTCTTCTAAAAAGAAATGAAAAAAATCTAGCAAAATACCTTTCATCATCATTTGTTTTGTTATATGATAAATAAATATTGAGTCAATCCCGCCAAAACAATGTTCGAATTCGAAAATAATCGATTGTATCGAATTAATTCATTCATTCATTCATTCATCATCATCCCTCAAATAAACATTCACACACGTTATTTTCAAAATCTTTATGATTATTATTAAAAATCAAATATTTTCATATTCATTACAAATCTTCTTTTTTTTGTTGTTTGAAAACAAATCATGTCAATTACTGTTGAACAATTAAAAACAAAATTAATTGATAAATTAGCCGCTACTCATGTTGTAGGTGTTTTTGTTTCAAATTTCATTCGTTGCATTCAAACATTCAATTTTTCTTCCTAAAAAAATTTAGGAAATCGAAGACGTTTCGGATGGTTGTGGTGCAAAATTTGTAGCCAAAATTGTATCATCAAAATTTGATGGTCTTTCTTTGTTGGAACAACATCGACTAGTCAATGAAGCAATTGCAGATGAAATGAATTTGATACATTCATTTCGTATGAAAACAATGACACCGGAAAAATTTGCCGCCGAATCATCAAAATGAAAAAAAATACACATTATATTTTTTAAAACAAAAACAAAAAAATAAATTTTAATTTCAAATTCAAAATTTTAAAATTTTAATTCATTTTTTTGGGAGAAATTTTTGATGGTTTTGGAACAGTTTTTTCCATTTCTTTCAATGTTCCTTGAATATTTTTCTGAACACTATCGGTCTGTGCTTTGACCGTATCGGCTTGTTTTTTAATCGTATCGGCCGTTTTTTTAATCTTATCATCCATTGAATTTTTATGATGATAATAATAATAACCGATTGCACCAAATACGGCTGCAGTTACGGCTGCTACAATTGTATATTTTCTTTTATCCATTTTTTAAAAATAAACTTTAAATCAATTAATTAATTCAAGAGAAAATAATCAAACTTAACTTTACCAAATTCAAAACTTAAAAATATAGATTTAAAAAGCTTACAGCTGCTTTGCTTTTATGTAATTTTTTTGTTTTTAATTCAATTATTTCTCATTGTAAGTTTAATTAAACAATATCTACAAGACGAAATTCATTTTCTAATTTATCCGGAATAACGTGAATATATTTGTTATAATATGGATGAATTTTGTTAACAAAATATTGTTGTACTAATGGATTGTTTGTATTTAATTGTACACGTTCAATTGAATAGTAAATTGTACCGGCAGTTATTGCATACAATGATTTATCTCGTGGATTTATACCACAATTTAATCCGGGAAAATAATTCAAATGTTTTTGTGTACCAATCATCATTCGTTCATCGACACGATCGCCTGGTATTTTGTTCAAACTGAATATTCGTTGTTTCTTTTTATAACCACGTTGTGTTTGAGCCGGACTTTTGGCCATACGTAATTGTGAATAATCTAGAAAAGGATAATGATATTATCATCACTGTAGAAAATTTAAGAATTTTCCATACTTATATCTCGAAGACATTTTGAAAATAAATCCGTTTTTATTTTCAAAAATGAAGCCATTTTTTGTGAAAATAATAAATCAAATCATGTGGGAAAATTTCCACAAAATTTACCAACCAAAATGAAAAAAAACTTTCCAGTAACAAAAAATAAAAATTAAATTTAAATTTTATTTATGTAAAAGAAAATTATGAAAGTTATTTATCAATTATTATTCATTAAATTCAAATTGGTTATCATTATCTTTTTCATCATCATCACTACTATCTGCTTGATAGATTATTCGTCGACGTGTTCGTTTTGATTGTCGTAAATTAGTTTGTTCAGCTTCAATAACTTGTTGAGCGGCCATTGAAGATTTGGTTCTTCTTTTATTAGCTGTTGTTGTTGTTGTTGTTGTTAAAGTATTGTTTAAACGATTTGATGATTTTTTTGCTGCAGTTCGTGTACGTTTTACTGGTTGTTGAATATCGGATTCTGTAACAGTAACATTTTGTTTGTTCTATTTAGAATGAAAAGAAAATAATAATAGTTAGTTTTCATCGAAATTAAAAAAAAATTCATTTTAAATCCTTACATTAGCAGCGTTATCGTTTTCATCTTGACCATCATTTTCTTCAACAACAGCATTACTATTTTGTTCATCATTTGATTTGGCTTTTGATCGAATTTCTTTTATTCGTGATTCCATTTCATCCAACATTATTTTCGATTCCGATTTGATTGAACCACCTTTTCTGGTATTATTCAAAATGGTCATAAAATTATCGAATATTATGTTACAATAGAGGCTATTGGCAAAACATGAAAAATTATTCATCAAATTGATCATAGCTCTATCATTATAATGAAGTAAACTAAGACAATATGATAAATCTCGCCATGTACGTTCATCACTGAAATGGAAAAAAATCAATCAATTTTTTTTTGTTAAATTAACCATCAATGGAAAATACTTACGTAGTGTTACTAAAACGATGACAAAGTTTAGCAACCAATGATTCAGTGTTACGTGTTTTTTCCAATAATTCAAACAAAAATTTTATCATATCTTGAAATTTTGTTTCATTCATACCATTTTGGCCTGAAAGATTACTGATTATATCGGGCAAATAATTATAAATATATACATTGTTCTTTTTGCCTAATTCGGTAAAAAATAATCTTGCTGATGATGAAATCGATAAATGATCATCGGTTACTAATTGAGCAATTTTACTTATATGACCTTTTGGTTTAATCATATCGGCTAAAATCAATCTGGTCAATACAATCAATGCATTATTTTTCACCAGAAAATTATCATCCATTAAACAGCCAAATATTTTTCCAGTAAAATGTTCCATTTCATTTGGGAAACGTACCAATAGATCACCAAACGATATGATTGCATTCGAACGTATAATACTATCTTTAGATTTTTCCAAAATATCAGCTAATATGGCACGATTTTTACGTGTATAATTCAATGATAATGCCATAAATTTTGCCAATGTTAAACTAGCTGATTGTCGAAGACAATATGAATAACAATTTCCTTCATAATCGGTCGAAATTCTTTCGATAAGTGGAATAAATTTTTTCAATATACCTTTATCTGTTTGTTTTAGGAAACAATTTTTTGTCAATGATAAATTAACACAAAATGATTGTTTACACTTACCAAATAATACTGATTCATTACAAATTTTAAAGATATTTTCCTGATATGGATCATCATTGATTGGTCCAATCATATCATCATCCATTGTTTCTTCATCATCATCATCCATAAAAATTGAATTCGAAGCCACGCTATTTCGAATGGTTTCATTTCTCGAACTAGATCGGCTATTTTTGCCAGCCTTTTTTTGTTTAGCCAACAAAACATTGGCAGCTTTAGATGTTTTTTCTTTTTCTTTAATATATTGACGAATCTTTAATTCTTTTGAAAGATGTAAATCTAAATGTATCAATATATTGATAGCAACATCACCCAATATTGATATGAAACGTGAAATCATTATATCATCAACATGACCAATCATGGTTGCAGAATTATTATTTTGTGATGAAATTAAAGCTGAGGATAAATTTTCCACATCATTATTCACTGAATCTTTTGGTGTATTTTGATCCGATTGAAATTTTGATTTATTCATAATATTTCGGTAACAATCTTGTATCATTTGTGAAATAATCAAATCTGGTTTATCGGCTAAAAAATATGTTACTTTAATGATAACCGATGACATACGTAGCCAATATTTACTATCAATTTCTGTAATACTATCGGCAATTATTGAACGAAGACGCATGAAAAGTAAATGATCCGTAGGTAATTTAAAAAATCTTTCCATTAAATCAATTTGTGGCAAACGAAATGCTTTTAACAATACTTCACATGTATCGGATACAAAACGATGATCCAAACAATGTGGTGGTTCCAAACTAATCGATATAATATTATTCAAATTTGATTCATTACGTATTAATGATGGTTGAGCTGATGCTAACATTCCGATGATGATCAATGCAGCACGACTATCATCATCAGTAATTCTTGAATATTTTTTAGCATAACGTTCCCATAAAATTTGCAAATGTATTTGATTAAATTTTTGTGCAGCATAAAGTTCTTTGATTATTGCTTCGGCACAAATCAGTTCACCTTGATTTAATTTCAAAATCATATTGGATAAATTTTTCACCTCCAAATAATGTAAAGCTTTATTTGCCGGACAATCTTGTTGTTGATTTTTTGTTAATTTTTCAGCACCACCATTATCCGCCGATTGATTTAGATAAATTTCACCGAATGCTTCCATCAATGCATCACGTACTGGTTTTTCACGACTAAAAATCAATTTTAGCATTTGTTGTATGCCAAACAAAGCATTATCAATTTCCATACGATATGCATAGGTAAAAAAATTTATAGCTTCTTGAATATCACTATTATTACGTGAATTAAGCAGAATACATATGGTTGGTATTGATTTTGAAATAGAATTAGTTATCTGAATTGCCAATTTCAATCGATCAATTAGCGCTTCATATTGTTTAACTTTATTCAATGCACGTTCAAATGTTTCCGATGAAATTGTAATAGCATTTTCAGTTGCCGTTATTAAATCACCAGTTTCATCGCTTAATATCTTTTCAATCATTTGTTTTTGACTACCAGTTGTATTATTATTTTGATTATCTTGATCCAGATTTAAATTACCAAAATCAATTAATGGTGCAAGGAATACTTGTTTAGCCATTGTAAGTTCATAAGGTAGTTTGATTTTTAGATTTGTTTTAAAATTTGTCATAGCACTTAAAAATATACCATCAGCTTCATTGAAAATTACGTTATTTGTATCATCTTCACCACCACCACCAACACCACCATCATCATCATCAATATCGTCATTATCATTGGAAAAGCCACCAACATTTCCACTGGCATCATCATCATCGCTATCATATTGAAAATCTGTTGATTTTAATTGAAATATTGGTTCATTTGGATATAATGATTTCAATGAAAAAAGTGAAATAAATGCATCTTCAAATCGAGATTCTTTGAACTGGTTACGAAAATATTCAAAACCTTTATCCAGATCATCTTGTGGAAGATCGTCAGGAAATTCAATATTTTTCAATTTTTCTTTCATCTGTTTACCGTGAAGTTTCCAAAAATTTTGCAACGGTTTTTCCAATTTGACCCAATCGGCAGCCAATGCTTCAATCAAACTTAGATCTTGTTTAGGTTTTTTTGAAAATAATTTTGCATATTCTTCGCTTTTTCGTTTACGACTTTCTTTTTGTGTTTGTATTTGTGGTTCATCACCATCACCACTGTTTGTTTCAATAGTATCATCATCCTCATTATGAATTGTACTACTATCGCCCGATGTATCATCAATATTATTTGCTGTTGCTTTTTCTTGTTGTTCAATCAATTGAATTAATTGTTCTTTAAATTGATCACTTAATATCTGCGTTTTTTCCATTAATTTTTGCATATCTTTTTTATTCATCATATTGAATGTATTATCTTTCAATATTATCGTCAAAAAATGAATAGCATATTTTCTTACATAACATGATTTATCATCCAAACGACCGATAATCAAATCAATTACGGATAATAAACGTTCAATAGGTATGGCACCATGTTCAGCTAATTGACTCCATAATTGTAGCACACGACCACGTGTAAATCCAGCAATATCGTGTATATGTTCTTCCAATTTATCCAATAATTTATTTTTGATATGAACATCTTTAAATATTGTTGGTGAACAGAATTTATTGATAATAATGGTGGCAATAATTTCCAACGTAGCATTACGTATTGGATATGAATCTTGTTCAAGAAATTCAAATAAATCCGATACATGTTTAAACATTATATCGGTACATTTCCGACCTAATTCAATTAAAAATGTTGCCAATGTTTTCGGAGCGGAAATATCTCTGGATAATAAATTTATATCCATTGATTTTATCTGATCAATTATATCATGTAACAGTAATAAATGCGGTAAACGTTTTATATTATGTGCGACTAGATCCGATAAAATGGCAGCCGAATTTTCTTTATTCTGTAGAATTTCAATAATTTTCATGCAATAATTTATTGAATGTTGATAACGTTCCAAAGCTACGGTAATCAATTCACAAATATTATGAAAATATATTGATGATCGTGTACGATTTGGATTATTTTCAATAATCTTATAAATCCAACGTAATGTTATGTTGATAAAATTATTCAGAAAATGTGATGTTTCAAATACACGATCTAAACGTAGGGAAAATATCTGTAACATTGTTGATATGGCTTGATGTTTTGAATCATCATATTTTTGTGATGATTTATTTTTCTTTTTACGATTATTATTACCATTCGAATCTTTATTATTAATATTGTTGTTGTTTGTCGTCGAAATACTGCTATCATCATTTTCAAATAAATCACTCAGTAGAACAAAAGCATAGACAATCATTTGAAGTTTATTTTGTTGTTGTCGTCGTTGATCAAGATTAAAATTTTCATTTATAAATCGATTCAATTGACCATGTAAAGCAAACATTGAACGATTAAGTAATGTCCATGCTTGATAACGGACTTCGATATCAACATCTTTGTAAAATTTTATAACAAAATAAAAATAATCAAATGTTTCGAGTATAAAATTTGGTCCTTGATTTTTGAAACGACGTTCAGCTTCAACCATTCGTGATGATAATTCGGCTGGTTTTCGTACAATCGTTCGATTGACTGTATAAAAATTGGAAAAATTTTCTTCATCTTCAAGCTCTTCTAAGCGATCCGGAATACGAAAATTGAAATGTTCTTCGATTGTCATTGTTTATTGATATTTTTGATTATTTTTTCACTGAAATGACAAATGAATGAATGAAATGACAAATGAAAAAAAGCGGCAAATCAAAAAAATCGATGATGAAATTGTTGAATGATTCATAAAGGTCGTTATTGTTTGAAAACAAAACGATTTATTTAATTTAAGAGAATTTTTTCTTTGTTTCAAACTTACCAATTAATTTGATTATTAATTATCGCTATTGAAAAAATTGATTAATTTATCTACAAAGTTTATTATGAATATTTACAAGTGAAAAATAATCAGGAAAAACAACAAAGTTGTGAATGAAATTTTTTGGCTCGAATCGAATTTTCAACGGTTCATTCGGTTCTATTTCAACTGAACTGGTGTTTCATAGGTGCATATATTTTCGAATGCAAAACATCGATGATGATAAAGATCGTGTCACACACGTTCGATTTAATAAAAAAATTAATTTCATTTTTTTTCAAAAAATAATGTCCATTGAATTGAGATAAAATCATGGGAAAAAATTCAAATTCATCATCATCGAATCATCAAAATTCAACATTGAAACGAATGTTTACTATATCATCACATTGGGAAGATAAAGTATGTGCTTTCATGTATAAATTATAATTTTTTTCATTTTTTTGATTTTCCATTTTGAATAGGATGAATTTTTGGATGTTATTTATTGGGGTAGACAATTGATTTCAATCATAATCGGGATCATTTGGGGTATACTTGGTTTAACCGGTTCATTTGGTCTAATCAGTTATATGGCAACAAGTTCAGCAATAGTTTATTTATATTCAAGTATGTTTTTTCAAAAATCGAAATTTTTAATAATTTTAAAAATTTATCAATTCATTCAGTCAATATCAATGATGATTCAGAAGATGCATTAACAGCTGTCAAAGAAGGTTTTATGACATCATTGGCTGCATTTTTGGTCACATGGATTCTTGTCCATACTTATCTTTATTTCTAAAGAAAACTGAAATTCAACAAAAAAAATGGAGCATTCCTCACTCATATTTCATCTTTTATCCAATTTATTCGAGTTTAATTAGAATTTACATTTTTTTATTAATTAAAAAATAAGTGTCGATCTTGAATTTTATGCAATTTATTTACAACAAAACATTTAATATTTTCCACTATACGATGATTTATGATAATAACGTGATGATGATGAATATGATTGTTCAGGACTTTCAGTACGATAATTATGGCGTCTTTGATGCTGATGATAATGATGGCTAGATGATGAAGAACTTTTCTTCGATTCATTTGGATATCGACGATCATCATAATCATAATCATCATCATCATTTGAACGATTTTTTCGACGATTTTCATAATAATATTGATGACGAGATGATGTGGATGATGAATATTGATTATCACAATATGATTTTGAAGGTGAAATAGGAGATCTTGATCGTGAATGAGAATCATTTTGATCATAATAACGACGATCTTTATGATCATAACGTCTGCTGCTACTATTACTACTAACAATTTTGGACGAAATATATGAACGAGGTAAAGATGGTGGTGGTGGTGATCGATGATCATTGTTACGATATTCTTTCGTTTCATAATAATCATCTTGTGGTAAATTGGAATGGCCGTTCTTTTTGAAACGATAAGATTTATAATGATCATGATCATAATCAGATAATTTTGACATTTCTTCTTCATTATTCAATGATTTAATGGGTGATTTTTGCAATTTAAATGATGATGATGAACTAATTGAACTATGTTCACTTCCAACATTATCATCATTTCGTTGTTGTTGATTATAATTATCATTACCATCCTTGATCATTGAATCTTTTTTTGATATTTCCGAAATATTTTCCTTTTCAATACGGGCACGTTTTGTAAATGTTTTTTCATCACCATCATCGTCAGTTACTTCTGTTGGCTGTGATCTAATTTTATCAGGATTTTTATCATTGATTACATCCTGTATTGATTTGTTTTTACTACCAATCATCGATGATGGAGAATTTGAACGTGAATCAATCAATACGGGTGAATTGTTGCTAATAGATTCCGTAAGCAATGGATTAATATTACGTTGATTGGCTAAAGCCCGTGCTTTAATTTTTTCAGCATCCAATTTTTGCCTAGCTTGTTCTACTTTTGCTTCCAATTCTTCTTGATCCATTGGTTTTCGTGTATATAACATTAGAATTGATTTACAAATATCTTCAATACTTTCAGTATCAACATTAAACATTTCATACCATAATGGTTGACTTGGTAATGGAACCTAAATGGAAAAAATGATTTTTTTAAGAAATTCTCAAAAAACAAATGCAAAATTTTACTTACTCTTAAAATTCTTGAACTTAAATGTATACAAGCACATGCAATCGATTCGGGTGGATAACGAACAAAAACATTTGTTTGCAAACTATCATTCATATAGCTCCTGTGTTTTGTTTGAAGGGAGGAAAAAAGAAATAACAAATTAGGAATATTTTTGAAAAATATAATGGCTCCATGAATATGATCCGATTGATTGAAAATGATGAAATGAAGTAGAAGAAACCGAAAGGATGTCAGGCAAAATTCATCAGCGACACAAACAACAAAAATCTCTATTTTTTTGTAAATCAAACAAGAGAATCATCATTCAATTCACTTTATCAAATTTAAAATAAATTTTATAAAAAATTTTTTAAAAAAAACTTTACACATAAACATGATGATTGTCGATCGAAACGTGCAAACATCCAGCCAAACCGATGGGTTTTCATTTTGCATTGAAAAAAATTGAATAAAAATTTAAAATTTTTTTTTGCAAATTTGAAAAATGAACATTTTTTTATCTCTTTTTAAATGTCTACTTACGGCCGAGTCGACAGTCGACGAATATCACAATTCATTTTTTTTATTCGATTCGATCGATTCGAAACGAAAATCATCACAATCATCTCACATGTTTGTTCTTTTATCTTTAAATTGACAATTTTGACAATAACAACAAAAAAATAAGATGCATTAATCGATTTTGTTTGATTAATTTAAATTTTAAAAAAAAATCATAATTTTTTACAAAATTTTACAAAAAAAAAATTGTTTGAATTTTACATATGCAATATACTAACCGTCAACAACAAAAAATAAAAATAAAATTGACTGAACACCTTTTCATATTGTTTCTTTTTTCTCCAAATCACAATTTTCAATCAATTTCAAAACTAATATCATCGATCATTTCTGAATCAAGAAAAAAAAAATTCAAAAAAACTTACCATGCAGTTTGTATAAGATCAACATTATTTTCATTTTTCAATATTTGTGCAACAGCAACAATAAATTTATGTGGATGTTTTACATGAACACAGAATCCCAATTCTTTCAAAATTCTTCTTTCAGCTTTTATAATTTGATTTTTTAAATAAATATAATTTTCATCCAATATGATCGGTATTGTTTGTCTATTGAAAGAGAAAAAAGAAAGGGAAAATTATTAGCTAAACATTAAATCTTCAAATGCATCAATAATTTGCATTATTGAAGTAGTTATTGAAAGCTTTTTTTGGTTTAATTTAGCAGCATTCAAATTTTTTTATCCAGAAAGTTTAGTATTTTTGAAAAACTATACTTTTCTAGCCATTTGCTGCATTTGTGTAACGAATAAATTTCGTTTAACAAACAACACACTTACTGCTTTAATCTAATCTGTTTCATATTATGAAAAACATTTATTACATCTCGTATACGACGTGGTGCTTCTTCAACTTTGGATGCTAAAACAACACATGCCATTGCTGTTATTTCCATTGGTTGTCGAACGAATGATTTTGAATAATAAAATCGTTGAAATAAAACCTGACCAGTGGCCATTGCAACCTGAACAACAAATGAAAAATGAAATTTAAGAAAAATAAATTTCTCGTAAAATGATTTTATTCGACAAACCTGTGGCAAACGTAAAAGAATTCCAGAAATTTGTATAAGTTTACAACCAGTAATACGAAGATCATTTTCAATTTCATCAGCTAAATTATCAGCTTTCGATGGTGTATTTGAAATAATTTCTTTTGGTAATATTGGATTTTCCAACAGAATAACAACACGTCCATATTTAAGACGATTATTATTGTTGTTGTTATTGTTGGACAATTGTTGATCAGTCGTCGATGATGATTTATTTGAAATGATGGTCCCATCAATAATGGAATTGTCGATTTTTTTATCATTCGATTCTTTTTCACTATCATTATTATTTTTTATCACAGATAATATTGATGAATTTTTGGTTTCCATTTTCCACGAAAAACAAATTTAAAATTTTTGTTACAAATTTTCCAAACAAACAAAAAAATATGATAAAAATATGAACCCAAAATGAGTCAATATTGCGGTTTTCTTTTGCAATATAAATCGAACTCACACACACACAAAAAAAAAAATCGCACACACTCTATCCATTCGAAAACGACGTAACTCGAAACTTGAGCACCATCTATTGGACAAAATCTTGTAATTCAAAAAACAAAAATCGAACGTGTTCGAATTTCGAATCATTAATTTTTTTTCCTCAGTGCTTCCAAAAAGGGTTTTTCGATTTTATCAAAATTTTTTTTTTATTTTCTAAAATGTTTGTTTTTTAGTGAATTTTAACTTTTTTGCTCAAAATTACTGATATTTTGCTACCATCATCATCATTGTCAACCCGAAGTAATAATGACCACGTTTTTTTTCAAAATTTCTATTTGTTTTAAATTCATCGATATCAAAATCATGATCAACAACAAAACCATGACAATATGATGATGATGAATACAAATGAATATTGTAATAATGATGATGATGAACAACAAAAACCCTCACAAGATTTATTAAATTTAATGCAAATTTATTATTTTGGTAATTTTTTCAACGAAAAAGCTACAGGTATTTGGAAATTTTGTTCTTGTTTCCATTTTTGAATCTTTTAAAACCTTCATTTTCCAATTCAACCTTTTCTTGTTTTTTCATTTTCAATCCTTTTTGATCATCATAAATGTTTCAATATGTCAAACACACGATCAATCTACCGCGTGCTTGCGAATATCCTTGAAAAAAATAGTGAGCCTAGCTAAACAAAACCACTTGTATTTGTTTTTGTGTTAATATTTAAATCTTGATGCACGTAATAACGATGATGTCAATACAAAATAATCGATGCATTGCGCTAGTTTTATTTTTTTGGCGCGCTCATTTGGTTCTTAATAAGAAAAAAAACCAAAACACACATTCAATTCAATGGAAAAAAAAGAAGAAACACTTCAAATGACATTGGCGCGCACATTCTCTATATATAATTTGTTTTGAGGCAAAATGATGATGATGTTTTTACTTTTAGTCAGTCGCATAACCAAAACACACACAAACAGATATAGTGGTTGCATAACATCATCACAGAGAAAACAAAAATTTATCTCGAAATTCACCCCACCAATAACCATCATAAAAATTCATTCGTATTGTGCGTTCATCATTTATTTATTCTATCCACTATATCCTCCCTCGCTCCGAAACGGAAAGATATTTCACTTTTTTCTTTTTACCCTTAAAACTTTCACTCAATTCTCTTTCTCGAAATATATAAAACACAAACAAACTGCAAGCATTGCTGCTTCACCCCCTCCGCTCTCCCTTTCTTTCGTTGATTTGAATTTGATATTTTTTGTTTTGTTTTGTTCATCATTGACATGCGCATGTCAGGATTTTTTTTCCTAATAATTCCAGTTTTTTTCCTTCTTTCGCGTTTCATTTTTGTATTTCAATTTCATTTCCCCTCCCGTTTGTTATTTTTTTTCCACTTTTCGTTTTTTTGCTTGTTTGCCTAATGACAGCAAGTTCAGCAAATAGCATAGTAAACAACAAATGACGACCATCATCGTCAACATCAACAATAATATTTTTTTTTTTTTGGTTGCGCATCACACTTTTCATCCACACAAAAAGCTATAAAAAAAATTTTTAGCCCGAATTTCGCAACGACACATGCGTAGTATGTATTTTATTTTACTTTCAAAGAAATGCACTGCCATCATTATTATTTGTTGTTGGTTGGTTGGTTATTTGGTTCTGTGTTTGTTGAGTTATAATGTTTTTTTTCGGATGAGAGAGCGAGAGAGAGAGGGATAATATAACCAAGAAGAAGAAAAGGGAGAGGTAGATGTTTTTGATTTTGTGAATGATTGAAAATGATTAAAGATGAAAAGTAAATGATGAAATTGATTGAAGAATATAATTTTTGAGAGAAGAGAAAAAGAAAAGATGATCCTGAATGGATTATTATTATAATGAATGTTTGTTTGGTTTTTAATTTTTGTTTATAATTAATTTTTTTGATTGTTTTTTGTTTTTGATTGTTTAATTCATCATGTGAATCGATAATGTTAAAAAAAATTTGACATTTATTAATGTATAGTAGCCCTCTACAATAAATAACACTAATAAGACCCCATCTTCGTTTTAAATTTTTTGTTTTTAAATTCTGATTCCGAATTTATCGTGACCGTTTTTATAATTGTTATCATCAGCAGCAGCAATGAACTCTATTACAAATCATCTCATCAAATACACAAATTCAAATTGTATGAATATTTTCGATTGATTTTTGATAATAATTTCCACTAATGTGCTTTTTTCTGTTCGATTCTGTTTCTTCCCTCTCCTCATATAATAATGATCATCCATATTTAATCATAATCATAATAATGTCTTGTTCTTTCTTTTTTTTCATCACTTTTTTCCCATCATTCCCACTAATCCTGAATTTGAATGTTGAAAAAAAGGCAACAGCGCAAACAAAAAAACATTTAACTTTCATTTAAAACATAATGAATGAATAAATGAAAAATTGACAACATCTTTAACTTCCAAATTGAACTACCTCGAATTTTTTTCTACTAAATCAGGAATCACACTCATATTATTTTGTCTTCATTACAAAACTTCGCCTCAATTCATTTCATTTTTTTAAAAATAATGATTATCATTATTAATTATAACCAATAATTAACAAAAATCGACAAAAACAACAAACTTGAATCCTGTTCTCACAAATTAAAACGTCTCGATGTTACCTTACCGTTATCATAATTTCGGTAATCTACCATTGAATACGTTTCTTGAAGGTTTTGTCTTTTTTCAATTTTAAATTCTGAAAATATTCTTTTCCCAATTTTTTTCGTTTTGTAAATAATTTTTTTATATTTTTTCTGTTTTATTTTGTTTTAAAAATTCTGAAAATATTATATAGGATTAGATGCACGACAACCAACTATAAGTAATTTTATCCATCCACAATCAACTGATCATCTTAACCATCATCCTCATCATCAACAACAACAACAATCGCATCAACAGCAGCCACAACATTTAAATTCACCTGATCCAAATAATAATAATAATAATACGACATCACATCGTAATTCACCGAAAACAAAATCATCATCAAATCGTTCAACATTATCAATTAATGAAATGGCTGCTAATCTAACACCAACATTATTATCGGCATCGTCGATACCATTTTCACAGGCTCAACAACAACAGTTGCAAAATTCACATCAAGTAGTATCAAGTGCAGCGATTCAACAACAATTAGTTCAACAGCAACAACAACAACAGCAGCAGCAACAACAACAACAACAAACCAGTACGAATAATCGTTCAAGAGTAAAGAATCGTTCGGCAAATAATCATTCAACAACAAATCATACAAATATTGGTGGTTTGAATGGTCTGGTAACGGGTAATATACAACCAGCTCAACATATTTTTGGTACTTCGGTTGCTTTTCCTGGAAATCCATTACAATCGGCTGCTGCTGCTGCGGCAGCTGCTGGTATTCAGAATCAGAATTTTCATAATCAACAACAACAACATCAGACAGCGACCAATAACAATAGACTTAATCAACAGATGCAACAACAACAACATTCATCAGCTACTGGACAACAACAACAAACTGTTTTGTTACCATTGGAAATTAATCCGGGACAAAATAGAAATTTGATCGCTACAAATAATAATAATAGCGGTAATAATAGTACTGCAAGTAGTGGCGCCAATGTAATTACATCGAATAGTGCGGCTGCTGTTGCCGCAGCCGTTGCTGTTGCTCATCCACAATATACTCAATACATTACCTCATGGCCATGTCCAGCTTGTAAAATTGCATTCCGATCTGCAAATGAATTACAAACTCATTTGAGGTATGTGTGATGATCCATTTGAATTTGTAATTTATTTCTTTTTTTCATTATTGTTTTTCCGGATTTTTGTGACATTGACCTTTACCATTTTTTCTTCTTTCTCTTTCCTTTTTTCTATGTCTATATGCTTTTTTTCTCTTTTTCTTTATTCTTTTCATCTTTTCTTTGCTCTTTTTCATCTATTTTCTTAAATATGTGTTTTGGTGTATCTATCTATGTTTGTTGTTTATTTATAAATCTATCTTCCGTTCTATTATTCAGTGCTCATTTTGTGCCGTCCCAAAAGCAATCATTATTACAAAATCAGAATCCATTGATAGTAGCTAGTTCAAATCAAATTACCAACAACAATAATTCATTTAACAAAACAACAAATCAACCTTCGAAAGAAGATCAAAGGTTCGTTTTGTTTGTTTCACGTTTCACTTTTTTTACCTCCTTTTATCCTCCTGGCTTAATTTAGAATTTTTTAGCTAAAATTTATAGTTTGAATTGAAAACCAAAAGAATCCTATCCTAAAAATTCATAAATTTAAATATTTAATGTTTTATTGTTTATTTCCTATATCCCTTTTTAAAATAGTATTCATATGAAAAAGGATAAATCTGTACCATGCAATGAATGTGGAAAATTATTCGCTAATGCCGAAAGAGTTCGTGTTCACGTTAGAGTTGCACACGGTGAGAAAACTTGTTCTTGTGCGATTTGTGGCTGTGGCTTTTCATATCGCTGCAAGCTATTAAATCATATGAGAACCCATACAGGTTTGATATTTACGATTAAATTTTCATTATTGATTTTTCTTGATCTATTTCCTTTATTGTTTTTTAGGTGACAAACCATTCACTTGTGAAGTATGTGGCCGTTCATTTTCACAAAAAAATCATTTAAAACGACATCATATGATACATACCGGTGAAAGGCCATTTCCATGTGAAATTTGTGGACGTAGTTTTTATCGTAAAGATAAACTAAGTATGTAACGGATTTTTTTTCTTTCAAATGAAAATGGATTCATTTTTTTTTCTTTCATTTTAGCTCGACATCTTCGTATTCATACAAATCCAAGTCCTGGACGTGGTCGCAATGCTAAAATGCCGGCAACAACAGTAGTTGGAGCTAATCAATCGGCTGCTGTTAATACAGCAATGAAATTACCAATGACAACACAATCATTAACATCATTACCAGCATCGGCTATTCAATTGTTACCAGTTACAATGACACAGATAAAAACATCAACCAATAGTCCTATTGGTGGTGTCCATCCTACATGGGTAACACAGCTACAATCATCATCAAATAATCGTCAACAACAAAACAATCAGGATAATGGCATAAATAAATCTAATGATGATTCACAGCAGCAGCAGCAACAACAACAACAACAACAGCCCTCCAATTTGATGGTATTTTTTTGTTGACAGCTTTTTTTATCAAACAATAATAATCTAAAATTTACATTTTATTTTCAGTTAAAACAGGAACAGATGTAAGAAAAAAGAATGGAAATAATGTTTTCTTCATTTTTGATTGAAATGGTCATTTTGCGTTCATTGAATTCGTTTTCATCGTTTAATTCTTCTATCTTTCAAACAAAAAACAAAACAAAATTTATTCAAAAACAAAATTTGCGATTTAGTGCCATTTGAAACTCATATATATTTTCGATATATATCTATTCAATTCTAACCTCAAAACTAAAAAATTAACTCAGTGGAAAACAAAACAAACAACAAAAATGTTTACCTCTAACCTTTTTCTTTATTATTATTTTGACAATTTTTCTTCTTCTCATCATTATCATCAACGTTGTCTTCTTCATTGAAATCCAGAAACTTAAACTTTGTGTTCTTATATATTACTCTCTAATGTTTTTTTTTGCCTCTTTTTTCTTTAACGGGTGTTTTTCTTCCTTCATTTTTCTTTCGAAGAAAACAATCATCAAAATAAACAAACAAAAAATTTGTTCACACAAGATGCACAAACACACACCAATATAACCCTTTTTTTTATTCATGTTCATTATTTTTATTTGTGTTCTGATTGAATTTGTAGTTATATTTTTTTTCTTTTCTTTGCTTTGAATCCTTTCTTTTTTTTGTCGTTTTGATTTTCTGCTATTCATTAAGATTTTTTTTTGATTGATTTTTGATTTTCATTACACATTTTCATCATTTGAATTTGAAAGATAAAGAGAATCGTATTGAATGATCTCGAGTGTGTTCACACCATATTTTATTTTTTTTTTTCTTTCTGTTTTTGTTTTCACATCACACACAAACACATTTTTACTTACATATTGATTAACCTCAGCATCATTATCATCGATATTATAATAATCTCATTGCATTACACATTTTTACTAAAAAAAATACTAAATGAAACTTATCCTCTCTCTATTCAAACTATTAATAATATTATAAGATGATTTTTTTAGTGGGTAGTGAAAAACAAAAACGACAAACGAAACGAAACAAAATGAAAATAATGATGATTTGTTATTTGGATCATTTTTTTGCTTTGTTTTTTTTTCAGAAAAAGTTTATCATCCACCATCATTCATTCATTTATTATTCATCACAATGTGTGCTTTACCTGGAATTTACCTGAAACATTTTTCGAATATATCATATATTATTATGCCCATAATTTGCAAAAACAAAAAAATAATTAAACTTGAAACTTTTTGAACCTCAAACACACACACACAACTCATCTCAGTAAAAAATTTTGTCTAAATTTTCATCATTTTCAACAAAAAGTGCAGTTCTTAACTTTCTTTTTTTGTTTTTTTTTCTAAATTTTACATTTTCATTCATTCATTACCATTACATTTTCTCTTGCTCTGTGTTTTTTTTTCATTTGATTTATATATTTGTTCAATACGACGATTTTTCTTTTTTCTCGACCAAATTATTAACCGATTAACGCCTATCATAATTAATTTGTTTTTATTATTATTATGAAAAAAACATCACGTCCTTATAATCATCATCATAACACACATAATTATTTGATTATTATAATAAGCATCATTAAAATTGATTTGATTTGATTGGATTGGATTTTTTGAATTATTGTTTTTCAGGTTGCGATTCTGATAATCGTAATTCAATAATATGACGAAGTAATGATTGATCAATTTCTTCAATAATATCACCCATTAAATATGATGATTTATTTTCGATCAATGAATCAAGATAATCTAAAAATGAATAAGTACCACCACCGATACCAAAATAATGACTTTTACTGGCAATCAATATACGTCCATTTGTTGGTTGAATATTTGATTGAAAAAGATTTATTAATTTGGGAAAATTTTCTTCCTTATAAATTGTTTCAGCTGTAACGATTAAATTGAAATGAATTTTATTTGTAATGAAAAATTCGGAAATTTTTTCCCAATCACCCCATATGAATTCATAATTTAATTTTATTTGTTCCAATGAATTGTTTTCTTCTTTTTCATTAACGATAATTGTTGGACAGGTAAAAAATTTTATTACCTGTTCATTATAATCTTGGAGATAGATACGAAATTTTTGATTGGGTTTTAATTGTCGTAATTTTCGAGCTAAATATAGTGAAAGCAGACCAGAACCACAACCTAACTGCGTAACGGAAAAAAAAGATTTATTTTCAAATTTATTAGATAATCATCATTGACTTACATCACATATTCTAAATTCATCATCGTTATTGGATAATAATTGATTAAAATCATATTTATTTTGTTCAAAATAATCAATCAAATCGAATAATCCTTCCCAGATCTTCAGACCACCTTCATATTCATTTGGTATAACATCCAAATCACTATTAAACCATGAATGCAATTTGGTTTGATGTTCAGCATTATTTAAATTTTCAAATTTTTGTAAAATTTTTTGACAAAAATTTTTATTCAATTGTTGATAATAAAATTTTTCGTTTCGTTGTTTCGGTTGTAATAAACATTGTTGTTGTGCGGTATCGTTTTCTTTCAATATGGATTGTATTATTTCGTATAATTTATCTATAAATTCTTTATCAAGAATTGACATTTTTTATTTTATTTTTATATTTAAAAAAATTTGAAAACATAAACAACAAAAATATTTTTCAAAAAAAAATGTGGAATTAATCACGTGACACTGTGTGCTATTCGTATAAGACGTAATCCGGTTATTAATTCATTTATTTTGTTTTTTTTTCAGGTTATCTTTTTGTACAACTAACAATAATACAGGTAACAATTGTAAAAAATGCAACAATAACAATAATAAATAATGATATGATTGCAATAGTCATTAATGGTGTACAATTGGAAAATGTCCAATCATTCCAACAACCATCATTATGATGATTATCTTGATGATTTCCAAATTGACATTGTTGTCCATTCCATCGATAACCACGTAAACATTTGCAAACATGTTGACGATCCAGCCATCCACATTCGGAATTTGGATATGGACAATCATAATCCAGATAACATTGTCGTATTGGAATAATTATATTTTGATTATCATCTGTGTGGTGAGGGAAAAAAACAACATTTTTTAAAAAATTTCAAAACAAAAGGGAAAAAAAACATTACAAGGATAATATTCTTGCGCATTGAAAGCTGTCAATAATGTTGAAATCCAAAGGAATAATAATAACGAAGAAGACATTTTTTGTGACAAACTTCGAACGTTCTTTTTTCTTTGGTTGATGGATCTCTCTACTTGAGTGATATTGATCAATATTTTTGATTATGGAAAAAATGGTGTAAAATAAACGAAAAAAACGAAAATCTCAAAAGCAAAAAGTCCAAAAAATTTAAGGAATCCTAGGTGATTGTGACAAACATCCTGGATACCTGGTGTACGAAAAAAACAAAAAATATTGTTTTCAATCGCGATTATTGCATCCTGTTGTGGTTTTTTTGTGTTTTGGCTTGTTTGGTGTATGTGAGTAAGTGTTATTTCAGGTCAAATTTTTTGGCCTTAATATTTTTTTTCTGTGGACAAAATCTAAGTTCAAATCAACTATGACGACGACGACGTGTGAAATGATTATTTTTTTCATATTTGGAAATCGATTATTTCAACCAGCAAATATAAATTCATATCACATATAAACTGAAAATCATCGGGGTTAATTTTCAAATTCGGTCATCATTATTTTTATGATGATTTTTCTATGATAATCTTACTGGCCGGTCAGCCAGCAAAAAAATATGACATTTTTAATTAGGTGATTTCAAAAGCTTATGCTGATGTTACCCTGTAATGGATGCTTTTTAGATTGATTTTGGCCAAGATTAACTTAGTTTCTTCCTAAAAACTTGAGTAAACCAAAATTCGATTCGACTAACCATCATATTTTGCAGTAAGATTTGGTGGTTGGACAAAAAAATGCAAAAAATTTTGTTTTTCGAGCAGCAACAAATTATTTTTAGCAATTTTAATTAATTTTTTGTTTTTTCGACCAAAAAAATATGGCATTTTAAATCTGTCAAATCACCACCACCATCACTAATATTATCAAGGCCGATGATGAAACCTTGACTCTGTCATCCTTGATTCGAATCGACCCAAATGTTGTTGTTGATCATCATTTTCGGTTAGATTCGGTCGATTTAATTTTTTTTTCTTCAAATTTCTCTCTCACTTAATTCAATCTGGTCAGTGACTGGTCAGAGTCGGCCAATATCGATCACATCTTTTTAAGCTTTGATGATGATCCAGTTTGTCATCCTTGAATGGTCATCTGGACAAAAAAAAATAATGTACCTTTATAATCTTAATGAAATGAAATGAAATGGTGGTAACTTGATTTATTTATTCTCTCTCTCTCGCTTGCTCTCTTTCATTTCATTCAAGACCGTTTTATTTTTTTTTTGCTGGAAATTTTTTTTTCATAATTCGTTTTCAAATCCTAAATGATCGAAACATTCAATATTTGAACTTTATTCATTTCATTTCGGTTTTCGGATCTTCGATGTTTTCATTCCAATTCTGATTTTTTTCAAAGTTTTTCTTAAAGAATCCCGGAGGAAACTGTAGAATGACACCACCTTTACCAACACCACCGCCACCTCCACCGCCTCCGCCACCACATTCTCAATCATTTTATCATCAACCATCATCATCATTCGATTGGAATCATCAATATAAATCATCAACCAATAATCATAATCATCGTATTGAATCATCAAGTGAATTTGATTCATCAAAACTTTTTCAAAAATATTTAACAAAAATGTCCACAAATATTATTAATGAACAACGAAATTCAAAACAACAACAACATTCACATTATCAACAACCACGATCAAGATTTTCCATGGTTAATAATTTTACCGAAAATAATTATGATTGTCCAACAACAACAGCAACAATGACCAATTATCATAATCATCATTTAAAACCAAAAATTTATCAACAACATTTACCAAATAAACATCGTAATAGCCAACAACAATTAGTACGACAAAAATCTGATCATTCGGAATTTATTTGTTCGGACGTTATTCGTTCAACAAATTTCAATAATAAAAATGATGATCAACTTGCATCGATGTTTGTTGTTGATCAACAATCATCAACATCAACAACGAAAAAATCTCGTTGCATTCTATTTTCACAGATTTATCTTATAATTCATATTTCCATAACAATTTGTTTGAATAAGACAAAAGGTTTGTCATTGGTTTTTGGAAAATCTCTCATTTGATTTTTAATTAACGTTTTCCCTTTTAAATTAATACAGATATGGAAACATTATCGGAGAACATTCAAAATTCCAGAGATCTTATCATCGATTTTTATCTATTCTATTTACTGGTTGCATCATTATTTTTCTTTATTTTATTAAGATACTATGCGGTGCCTAGATTTAATAACAATGATAATAATCTAATAACATTTAATGAATTAACCGGTAAGTAATTACCCAATAAAATTCAATTGATCATCTTTGAATCTTTTGTTTGTTTTCACTTGAATCAAAAATAGAACAAACACCGATACTGTTCGGTGCAATAATATTGGGTTTCAGTGAATTGGCACAATGTCTGATTGAATTAATTGGTTGTGTTGAAACGGATTCATTCGTAATACCGGTGATAAAATTTTGTTATCATATTGCTTTTATGCATTTTCTTCTATCACAGGTAAGAGATTACTTAGATTTAAAACGATTTTCAATTTTTTTCCTAAACCTTTTAATTTTCTACCTGTCTAAAAAAAGATAATCTATAGTGATTATATTGGACTGCGTAATATTGCTATAGCACATCTTTTATCAACACAAATTTCATTATGGTTATTGTCCATATCATCATCTTCTTCTTCATCGAAACATCATTACGGTCATGTTGGACAACAACAAAAATATTGCTGTGATTATAAACTTGATTTGAAAACATTTCGTATTGTTTTGTTCAATAACTACAACGACGATAATGGCCATCAATTTTTCAATGATAACAATAATAATAATAATGTTACATTGAAAATGAATGAAAATCATCATTGGGAAAATCCTGATACATTTCAAATCAGCCTGTTTATATTGAACAATCAGTTTAAATTTCTTACAATATTTATATTGATAACAATATGGTTTACACAAAATCAATCAAAAATTAATTCGATACGAGCAAAATTATCGGAAGAAGAAATAATTCGTTCAGCTTATCTAAATCCATCCGGCAGGCTTTATATGTTTGGTGGTTTTATGGTTGGTTCAGTTTTCCTACTTACTTCAATCATATCGATTATCTTTTTCGATAATCGATTGTTACAATATTCGGCTTCGATTTTTATTCAGGTAAGTGTAATTTACCAGAAAATCAGAAAACCAGAAATTTTTACTCTCTTTTTTCCACCAAAAGATTATGATTATTATAATATCAATGACCGGTTTGATTATTCGTAAACATCAAATATTGGATGCTGATGAACCTAAATATCAAATAAATATATTAAAATATCATTTTATTATTTTTGTAACAATGTTTTTAGTTTATAATGTATCCATTATGAATTTTATAACATTTTTTATTAAATTAATAACAACAACAACAAATAGTAAAACAACAACAACAACAATAATACAAATGATTATACCAATATTATCTGTAATTAGTTCAATATTTCTTATCATACAAGTTACCGTACAATCTTATTTATTACGATTACAAGGCAAAAAATTAATCAACATGACACATGTATTTTCCCTATTAGCCATTGCCAATTTTGCCCTATGGATAATTGATATTTCAATCATTGTGAATGATCAAAATTTATGGCCAATTCATCATCAGCAAGAAATATTTTCCACGAATGATGAATCATCATCCATCATCAAACATTCATCGGATTCAAATTATTTACGAAACATAATGAATATTTTCATACCGATCAATCGTTATTATTGTTCATTAATATTTTTTCATTTTTGGAAATTGAAATTATAATTTAATTTTTCGGAATTTTTTGTTTCTCCACTAAATAAAAACCCTTGATTCATTTGTTTTGTTTTGGTTATTGTTCGATTATTTACTTGATTTTTGGTTGATTTGAATTTTTTTTGGACAAAATTGATAAAACAAAGAAAATTCAGTGGTTACGAAAAGGATTTTCCCATTTGAAACATTATTCAATGGAATTTCTAAAGTTATTTACTTCTTCTTCTTCTTCATCAAAACATCATCATCAAAATTATCAACAACAAAATCATAATGTTGTTGTTGTTGATAAACAACCGATTGAACCAATCGAATTGAATGAAGAAGAATATTGCCTGTTTATATTGACCACACTATTCAATGCACATTATTTACCATGGTTAAAAGATCAAACACCAACGGATTATTTTCAAAATTTTGTCGAACGTTTTAATTCATTCAGTCAAAATATTGACCAAGCATTCCCTCAGATGCATTATAATCGAAAAAAATTTGCCATAAATTTAGCAAATAAATGTTGTTTTAAAATTGCTCGGAAATTGTTGATATCGATCGAATCAGTAAAGACAACAACAACAAAAACAATCGATGATGGTAACGATAACAATGATGATCAACATGATTTTGCTGTTCAATCAAATTATGATCAACAACAATCATCATCATTTTGGTTGGAAATTAATAACATTTTAAAAATTCCAATCGAAATTGAATCAAATTTTCAATCATCGATTGAAATTCCAAACGAATTAAATTTAAACAAAATGATTATAAAAGGTTTTCAACAACAAAAATATCGTCAAGAAGAAGATTTGCCGAAATTATTCTTGGAAGTGAATGATTATGAAATTTCTGGTTATGCTGGTTATACAAAAACAATAACATTGGATAATTTAAAATTTCATTTAAATTTACGTTGGGAATTGGAACGGAATTTTATATTGAATTTTGTTCAAAAACCGGAAATATTTTTAAAATTCTTTACCGGTTGTATATTAGCACTTGGTACATATTTTTATACATTTTATTCCAATCTTTATGCAGGATTATTATTGCAAGAATCTACACAAAAACAAGGTGAGCAGAGTTAGCAATGAATAATTTCATTTTTCAAAACAAAATTTCTCCACACACAGCACTTAAATGTTTTCCCGAAGTTGCTTTTATGATTGGATCAACACAACGATCGAAATTAAGTTCAGAATTTTTGATCATTTTTCGACAATTTCAAACAAACATGATAGAACAACAACAACAATGCAATCAAGAAACTTGTTCAATGGTTTACAATTTAATCAATGCAGTATTAATTCTTTTGGATAATGTTAATTTGATTGAAATTGAATTATTTCGTTGTCTTTTAATCGAACCATTTAATCATATCATACGGTTTAATTGTGATCCAATGATTGTTTGTAGTCGTAATTTTCGTCTACATAAATTATTGATTGGACGTCTGTATAAATTATTGAAAAATTCTGATCATCCAATTTTACAGGAAAAATGTTTCGAACATATATTATTGAATTTATTATTCGATACAACCGAATTCAAACTTGAACAAATGCAAAAAGAATCGATAATGTTATTCGCTCGTTATTGTAAAGTGAAAAATATTTTCATCGATAATGATGGTAATGCTGAAGAAGATGATAATAAAATTAAAGAAAAAACCTCGGTTAATCGTTCGGATGAAGGTGATATTCATCAAAATAAACATCATTACCAGCAGAAACATAAATTAAGAAAATATTCGAATGAAAAATTATTGCCAAACACACAACAACAAGATGGCAGCAGCAGCAGCAATGATGTCAAAATTGAAAAATTTCGTGATCTGCTTTTTAAATATTGGCCCGAAACATTTGAACAAAATCAACAACAATTGGATAGAGTTTTATCCGATTTGATTAGTCCATTAGTTGAATATGGATTTCCCATTATTAGTTAGTTAGTTGATTGACCTTTTTTTTGAAGAAAAAATATTTTCAATTAAAATAAAATAAGTTCAGCAATGAAATTGCAGAAAATGTTTTGCAAAAATTCTGTTTATGTCATCATCATCATTCGCTGGCCAATATTTAAATCGGATTGTTTTTCCAAATCGAATCATTCATTCGGAATTCATCTTTGGTCAAGATAAAGATAATGATGATGTCCAATTCGTTGAAAATGATTTTGTTCTTGTTGTTTTTATTATTTTTAACATATCAGATTTTCATATCGATCGAAACGGATCGTGCTGAATATTTTCAACGTTTGATTAATAAAACACGTCTTTGGAAACAAGTTTTTAATGAAATTAATCATGTTTATTGAATGAAAAAAAACAAACGATCAATCACCGGTAAAAAAAATTATAAAAATCAAACATTTGCAATTTCGGTAATATAAGCAGCCATCAATTTGGTACCTTCAATGTAATTACGACGATCAATTTTTTCATTTTGTGAATGTGCACCATCATCAGCAGCACCCATTGGTAATAGAATTACACTTTTATTGGTTACTTCTTGAAAAGTCAGTGTAACCGGGATTGATCCCCCTTCACGTGTCATATCTGGTTCAACACCGTAAACTATATTCAATCATCAAAATAAACATAAAAAGATTGAACATTTTGAAATGATTAGTTTGGGTACTACTGACCATGTTTTGTTGCTAATCTTGCTGCAGTAAAATTCGGGCTATTTGGACTGGATTTCCAAGGACGACCACCATTTACCATAAATGTACGAAATTTATTTGGACTATTCAGTTTTTGAAATTCTTTAGTCAAATAATCGACAACAAGTTTTTCAATCATTTTCGGTTGTTGATTTGGTACCAGACGAATAGAAAATTTACCGATAACTTTTTTCGGTATAACAGTTTTCGATCCGGAATCAGAAAAGGCACCTTCAATTCCATGAATCGATAATGATGGATAACGCCAACGACGTGTCAATGTATCCATTTTATTTTCATGAATCAAACGTTCACATCCAACATCGGAACGAAATTCATTACAACAAAAATCAATAGCATGATAAAGTTTTTCTTCTTCGCTGGTTAATGGTTCAACATCATCCATAATACCGGTAATCATTATGTTACCTTTTGAATCAACTAAACGACCAAATAATTGTATTAAATCAGTCATAGCTTCATGAACCGATCCACCATAAACACCTGAATGTAAATCTTTTGCTGCACATTCAATTTCAATGTAAAAATAAGCCAAACCACGAAGTCCATAAGTAAGACAAGGTTTTTTTGTACCAAGCCAATAATTATCACTTATGCAGACAAAATCAACATCGTTGAAAAACGTATCTTTACGTTTTAATAAAAGTTCATCTAAACCTTCGGAACCAGATTCTTCCATACCTTCGAATACAAACTGAGAAAAATATTGATTGGAGAAAGTTCAGTTGCAAAAAAAACTACAAACCTTCAAATTAACGGGCAAATCAATATTGTTGGCTTTAAAAGCTTGTATAGCATGAAGCCAACCAAGTACTGGTCCTTTATCATCGGATGAACCACGACCATAAAGTTTACCATTTTTTTCGGTTAAAACAAATGGTTCTGTATCCCAACCATCAGATTTTAAAGCTGGTTGTACATCCAAATGACCATAAACACACAATGTTTTCTTTTTTGAATCATTTCCTAATTGACCAAGTAAAACTGGTGGCAGCGGGGCTTTACGACCATCTGGAAATGTTTGCTCACCAATATCGGCTAATTCAGTTTTTACACCTTCTTGTTTTAATAACTAAATTTTTTTGAAAAAATAAAATAAAGTTTGATTACATTAGATTTACTCCATTCATACCTTTTCCATCCATTTGACCATATTAATAGTTTCATTTCGTAATTCATACGAACAGGAAACACTTTTGATAGCAACAGCTTCGGATAATCGTTTAACATATGAATCGGCATTATTATCGATGTGTCTTTTTTTTATTAAAAGAAATTTTCAAATTAAAAAACATTAAAAAAATTATGAAACAAAAAAATTTACTTGAAAATTTTTTCCAATGATTGGCTAGCCATTTTATTATTAGGTGGGTGTTTTTTTTGTTGTTTGTCAAATGAAAAAAAATGTTGAAAGTAGAAAATGATTATAGAAGAAAACTTATTTATATAATAAAATCACCGTACGGTTAAGAGAAAATATCTATATGTACAATTTTTGTCTTGTTTGAAATGGTTCGATTGATTTTATCTTGTTGTTGTTGATTGAATTGTAAAAACAGTGGCGACAATGATGATTTTGCATTGATAAGATAGAAATGATGATGACAATTGATATACAAAACAAACAATCACTTTGAGATTTGTGTGGCCAAAAAAAATACACGTGTAAAACCAACTTACACTATCCAAAAAGAATGTAATGGTAGAAAATATTTTAAAACAATTAAATATTTGATTCGAGAATTTGTTTCCCCCCCCAAAAAAATTACTTTGCTATTTAGTTAATGTGATAATCTCTATGCAAAAAAATTTTTTTGAAAAAAAACAATGTTTGCCATATTAACATTTAGCTATTTGATTGGTATAATGATACCAATATGTTTAATATTGATATTACCAAAAATATTAATTGAATGTTCAATTTGTTTTCATTATTATGATGCATATAATCATTTAACTCGGCCACATAAAAGACCATCATATGTTCGTGATAATAATGAAAGACGTCGTATGTTATTATTATCAAAAATTTATAATCGAATTAAACCAACAACAACAACCAAAGATAATGATAATGATGCTGATGATAATGATAACGATAATGATAAACATCGTGAATTTAAATCCTGGATAATATCATTGGAAAAATATCTAAGTGAAACAATCGAATCATGGGAACAGGTTAATGATTTTCATATTAATTTAAAAATTCGTAATGATAAATATAAACGTGAATTGAAATTGATAAGAAGTGAATTGAAAAAATTTTCAAAATATTATCATTCAAAACAAGAGATCATTAATTTAATTAAATTTTTAGATTTGGTTAGAACATTTGAATTTTGACAGAAAAATGGATATAATGTTTTTTTCTTCTAAAAATTAAAGACAAAAAATAAAATCAAACCAACACCGGGTTAAAAGTGGATAATTGAATTGGAGTTAATACAAATTGTTTACGCAAACAAATCAATAGAAAAAATGACTAGAGATGTTATTTCCAAACACCAAAAAAAACAAATTCAAATTCAAATTCAAAAAAAAAACATTAAAAAAACATCATTTGGAAAGCCAAAAACAAAAAAAAATTCTACATTGATTGATTGAAAATTGCCCTAATTGATTTTTTTTCATTTCTTGTTTTTTTTCATTCATTTTTATAATATCACAGTCACGTCACATTGCTTTGCCTTTGTTTAACGAGTTATATAGCTGTCTTGAATTTATCATTTTCATCATCAGCATCTTCGATATTGATATTTTCAAAATTATCATCACCATCACCGTCTGCATATTTAACATTATGATCGAATATTGCACCTTTATTTTCATAACCATTCAATTCGATTAAATCCATTTGATCATGATCATCACCATCATTCAATGAATTTGAATCTTTTGGTGATATTGGTTCCAGTGATTCACTTGCATTCATTCGTGATAATGGTTGTGGATGATGAATTGATGTGGATATAATCGATGATGGATTTGGACAATTTGAATCTGCGTTTGACATTGTTGTCAATAGATTGAACATTTGTTTTGATCGAACATTTTCTTTAAAATGTTTACGGGCACGATTTTCCAAATGTTTTAATTGCCTAATAAAGAGAATGAAATAAAGAAAACAGAAAAATTAATAAAATTTACAAAAAATATTTACAAAAACAAATTTTCAAAATGAATTCATTGATCGATCATATTGATTGTATAGTGTTTTTTGGCATTTTAATTATCAAAAATAAAATGAAAATAAAATCATTTACAATGAGGAAAATAATGATAAAACAAAAGTTGAGAAAATTTAAAATAAAAGAAACAAAAAGATCACAGATAAAAATAATGATGAATCGATGATTGTGTGCAATTTGAACTTGTTCAAGCCAATTAAAGTTGAGTGTTTAGGTAATTTAAAGCTTATGAAGTTTTATTTCTTCTTTATCGTGTTCATCATCATTATTAATTCCAATCATCGATATACCAATCGATGGTATAAAATATCTTGATTTGGATGAATTTATTGACTTTGAATGATTTATTGATAATTGTTGATTTGATTGATTCAATGATGATCCTCGTTGTTGTTGTTTTGAAACAATTTTACTGTTTGTTTGTCATGCGTGTATTTTATATAAGTGAAAGAAAAATAAAAGAAAATTTTTAGTTTCAAAGAATAAAAAGAAAAAGGATTTTTTTAAACATACTCACAAAGTGTTAAATTTGATACATGAAAAGACACCAACATAAAAACAAGACAAGAAAAACATTTTGTTTTCTCCAACAAAAGTTTAAAAAGTTATAAAGTTGGTTAGTTTCTGAAGAATTATTCATTTTTTTTGCTTAATAATTATAGAATAAGTTTTCATGACAAGTTTCTCATTAGAAAGACACAAACAAACGGAAAAAAAATCAAGATCAAAATAAGACATGCAAACAACAAATCAAAACTAATCAAATCTACTGTAATTTAAAAAAAAGAAACGATCAATTTTGGTTAGTTTATTTTTTTGGTTGTTGTTAAATGATGTTCAAGTATATTGTGTGTGTGGGGGTTAGTGAATTTTATCCATAGAATTGATTAATAAAATATTATTATTATAATGAAAATTGACATACGATTTTGGTATTTTTCGATATGTAGCTTTTTTATAGCATATTATTTGCATAAATATTAACGAATCAAATGTTATTTGTGTACAGCCACAAAGTAAAAATTGAAATGGTGCTTGTCGAACAAAAAAATAAACAGTTTTATATAGATCACCAAGAAACCAGGTAAACACCATTAATTTGCTTGAAAAAAAATTCAATTAGTTCAAAAAAAGATTTAGATTTAATGATCAACTTACCTCATTCCTTCCACAGATTTTACTTTAAGATTACGAAAAAATTGTGGACTTGCCAATAATGATTCAGTAACTAATGCAACCAGACCATATCCTTCAACAATCAAAGGCACATCGATAAACAAATAGAATATCAATCCGGCAATCAATGTAAAAACGGCCATACATTCCAAATAGCTCATAAAATCAGTCCATTCCCAGAAAAAACGTAAATCAAAATCTGTAATGAAAATAGAAGGGAAAAAAAAGATAACAAAATCAGAATTTAAAAAGAAAACATAGAATGGTTGAGAATAGCGCACACAGATTATCTTTTCTTTTTTTGTTTGTTAATCTAAACTATTATGGGATTTTTTTTTCGTTCTACATACAGAAATTAGGAAAATAAAACAAAACAAAGAAATGAACACAAAGGAAACAAATGAAAATGAAAATTAACAACAACAGAAATAATGAAAGAAATGTGATCGAAACAACAAAAAACAAATAAAAATATTCAGAAAGAAAGGATTATCCGATTATTGAAATCAATTAATCAAATCAATTAATAATACCGATGAAACGTTTTTGTTTAAATTGATCATCATCATCATTAGTTTTTTCAGTGTTTATATTTTCATTGATTATTAGATCATCATTGATTAATAGCTGATGTTTTGGATCGATTAATTTTGTTGAACCCATTTCATCGACAATTATCATTTCATTTTTACGTTGTTTTTGTTGCAAATTTGAATCATCAAACTGTACGGAATGTATGGCTGTTGTTGTTGCTGTTGCACCACCGCCACCATTGCCATCAACATGGTAACTAGATACAATTGCTTAATTGAAATGAATAAAAATCAATATGAATGAACTTTACAAAAATTGAATGTATGAATGAACAAACAAACAAAACAAATTTTACATAATTTAAATGAGAAAAATCAAATCAAATTATCATATTGAAAATTTATGAAAAATATAACGTGCACAAACAAAGAAAAGTAATATGAACAGAATTTGACAAACAAAACAAAAAAAAGAAATTTACTTTGTTTTGGTGAAAGATTCGAAGATTCTTGATTTGATGATGAACATTGATGATGATCATTTTGAATTGTTGTTGGTGGTGATGATATTTGTTGTTGTTGTTGTTGAGTATTTTGATTTGTTGATTGTCGTCGTTGTTGTATATTTGATTCAAATTGATTTTTAACCAATTTCATTTTATTCTCTAAATTGGAAATTTGTTTAAAAAAATGATGATTTTTTGATTTCGGTTGACTATTATCATTGTTGTTATCATCATCAGTGGTCATATCAATTGTAGAATGATCATTTTGCCGTTGTTGTTGATGTGGATGATGATAATTTTTCGGTAATGTTTGTGATATAGAATTTTTCATCATATAAATGATTCCAGTTATAGAATTCTTTTTTACATAAACATTTCTATTATTATATTGTTTTTCATTATGACAATCATCAAGCGAACGTGATCTTTTTAAATTTATTGTTGTTGTTGTTGACAAATCTTTCGAATGATGATTGCTTTCGTTTGATTTTGATGTTGTCAACATTGTTTTCATTGAATCTTTTTCTTTGTTTTTGTTTCATTAAATCAATTGAAACAACAAGGTAAACAAAAACAATACACAAAATCACACAAGTAAGAGGATAAAGATATATAAGAGAAATCAATAATAGTGTTGGGCAAGTTTTTTCATGTTTTTTTTGGATTTTTCAAATATTGCAAATGAGAGAAAGCAAGAATAAACGAAAAAGAAAAGAAAAAGAACAAAAAAATAAAAATAAATAATGGGAAAAAAATGATCCGAAAACTATTGTTTATGGAAAAATAAAAAAACTATTTTGATTATCATCCCATGCAGAAGATAATACATCTATTACACACACACACCAAACACACATAAACTAATTTGCTGATAATCACAGCATCATAAGAAACTTACCGGAAAAATAACGACGTTTTTGTTTAATAATTAGATTAGAATTTCTAACACGAACACAAAGTTCCAATAATATAAACATTGCCATTATCATAACTATTGATTGTATTAATAATGGTGTTTCAAAATGTTTACCAAACCTTTTTTTTGAATAGAAATGGTCATAGATAGAAAGATTAATGTTATTCAATAGATTCTTGATAATAACAATGCTTACCAAAACATTATACGAAGTATATTTGCAATCAATAATGTTAGACAAACATATAGGGAAAAACCTTCAGTATTTTGTGTTTGTTTGATTGTAAAATATTGTGGTATATAAGGCACAATACTGCCAATAACCATGGCTAAAACATAGAAAAAAATGACAAATTGATTGATTGATTTGATTGGATTCGATTTGCGAAAAACATACCACATGAAAATATAAATGATAATTTGATTGGAAATTGATCAATTTTTGACATAATCCATTCGATTGTACCATCTTCACCTAATGGATCGACAACAGACGTTGCTGCTGTTGTCGAATTGATGATTAAATTGGCAGACATTGTTTCTCTCGGTTGATTTTTGATCAAAATTATGCAACAAAAAATCACACACAAATACAAATGCACACAGTTTCAAATCAAAAAAATCCTAAAATTAATTTCTAAATTAAATTCTAAGGTAAAATCAAAACAAAATAAAAACTTGATTTTCAAAAAAAAAATATTTCAATCATAGCCAAGACATTTTCATATGAATTTTTTTTTGTGTGAGTTTTTCTCGGTGGAATCAGAGAGAATAATCTTATGATGATGATGATTATAGGAAACTTCCAATTGAATTGAGTATTGCACATTGCATGTTTTCGAATGAAGAATATTCTGAATGTGGATATGATGATGATTATGTGTTAAAGGAAGTAGTAGTTGTTGTTGTTATGGATCGCGCCTTTATTATTATATAGTACCCCTTATTATATATGGGCCTTAAAACTTTCTTGAAATGATGATTGTTGTCAGACCTTGATTATATATAGTGCAAAGAATAGGGTAGAATTTTTCTATTTCTTTTCTTCTCATCGATTTGGTTGTCATTGACAACCCGAAAAAAGTTTACATGAACTTAGAACATTCAAAAAAAAGAATTCACACAACAAACACAAAGTAACACTTGACAAACAAACATTGAAAATATTTCCGTATCCAAAAATGAATGATATGATATGATCAATTTGTTGATTTTCTTTTCGTTTGTAGCCAAAATCTCAAAACAAAACAACCAAAAAAAATGATTTGACAAAAAAAATTCTATCTAGTCATGATATTTGACAAAAATAACAAAACGAAACGATGATCGGTATGCGTAATGATGATGACGATCTGTAATGCATCTGTTGTCAATCAAATTGCCATTCAATAATTATAACGTACATTACATTTTGGATTCAATGTACGAATGGACAACAACAACGACAACAAAAGTAGAGAAACAAAAAATGTGACTTTTGTTTGTTTGTTGATATTAAGATATATACGCGTTTAGTGTTTGTAATCTCATATTACAAACATCGTAAGGTTAATGTTTATGTGTTCAAGTGTGTGTGTGTGCACGATTAGATGAAATCCAAAAATAATCAAATTATTTAGCAATGATTATTATTTATTTATTTAATGGTGATGTTGATAGATTAAATGATGGTGTCTATGACGATTATTTTCTATTAAAATTAATCAATATTTGATTATTGTAATGATGAAATCCAGAGAAAATTATGATTATGATTAATATCTATTTTTCACTTGATAAGATTGTGTTGAGAATCAAGAGTATTTGATGCTTGCTAATGAAATCAAATATCAATTCATCATTTCAATTGATTTTTAGTCAGTCAAGTTGATTAAATTTGTCGTTGTTGATGATAACAATTATTATTGATATTGATGAGGATCAAATGATGATGATGATTGTAGCCTGAATCGAGAAAAAAACAACAGAAAAAAAATATTAAATTCGGTTGAATTTGAATTTAGGTCGTCTATGAAAATAAATCCATAAGCAAAATTTTTTGTAACTTTTTAAATAATAACTTTTTTTCTTGTTGAGCTCAACGATGTCGACCGTAATTTTTTTCGTTTGAAGATCAAGTTTTTCTCTTTAAATTGGCATGGTTGGTTGAATCGATGATAATTAAAACTTAACTAAACGAGCGAGGTAAAAAACAACATTATTCACAAGAGGAGAAACTGGATTTTGTTGAAAAAGTTTTGTACAGAAAAAAGAGAAAAAAATAATGATGATGAAAGCAATAAAATTAATTAAAACTAACTAGTTTTGTACAAAAAAAACTAATCATTCAATCAATTTCAAAAGTTAAGGATAAATTTATTGATTGAATTTTGATCAAAGTCATGATCATCTTTGAATGACAATCATTTTTTTTATTGTCTATAGAAATCCTGAATGAATTTTGAATTCAATAATTTTTTTACCTTTACGAAAATGTTGGAAATTTTGTTTTTCAAGAAACATTATCACCAAACGATGATGATGATGATGATGATGATGAATAACAACAACGGAACATTGTTTGTCATCATTCAGCTCGATTGTTGTTGGCGTTGTTGATGATGTGATGTTTGTTTGTTGTTTTAAAATTCAAATGTCATTGGCGTGATCACATCACACACAATGCAATAACAATGGGTTTTTTTCAATTCTTTTGATTTGAATATGAAGAAGAGAATTCAATGCAAAAAAAAAGATTCATTCAGACTCAATTCTGACCATCCTTAGATATCGTAATGTTGTGTTTTCTCTTCGGTAAAGAAGACGAAGAAGAATTCGAACCACAAACCAAAACATTCGAATTCTCTTGAAACGTTCGAAATTTTTTTCAATTTTTTTTCCTTGTAAAAAATGGCACAAATGACAACAGCATCAAAAGAAATAGCCAAATCAACACGTACATTAATCTGTTTGTTACAATCATTGATTGATCATCGAGTTTTAATTGAACTTCGTAATGATCATTTTGTTTTGGTTTGTATTTGGATTTTGTTCGAATCTTATTCTGATCGAAATCTATTTTTTCCCCTGCATGCAAATATAGGGTATGTTACAATCAGTCGATTGTTATATGAATTGTGAATCAAGTAGTGCTAAAATTTGGTCATTAAATGATTGGATTGAAGATCAATGTCATGATAATAATGCGACAATAATCAATCTACAATGTGATCGTTTACCTGATACCGAATGGTTAGATAAACATTCCAAACAAATGGATTATATATTTATCAAAGGAAATCGTATACGTTTTATTCATCTACCTGAAGAGATTAATATTATTGATTGTATTGAAAAGCAATTAAAATTTTATCGTGAACGTAATAAAAATGTTATGGCTATTCAACGACCGTTTAATTGGAAAGATTATCGTAAAAAATTAAAATCAGAAATACCAAATCAACAACAACAACAACAGGATAATGATAATAATAAGTCAATAACCATCAGTTTGACAGGTGATAATAAAAATTGATAATCTCATTTTGTAATGTAAAAAAAATTGTAAATTAAAAATGATTTTAGTGGCGCCATCTTTTATTCCAAAAAAAGAAAATGATAATAAAAACATTCGAATTTTTATTTTTTTTTGTAAATAAAATAATTTTTAATTACAATTGACATTTGGTTAAGGAAATTAAAAAAAAAATATTAAAATTAAAAGATGATAATGATGATGATTGCCATTATAAACAAAATGATTGATTTATTAATGATTATTTTTGTGGATGATCGATTACACCAATCATTATTACAAACACAACGATCAATACGTACACCAAATTCATAATAAGTATTACAACGCATACGGACGATTGGAAAACTGCCCGCTAATAATAATCGATTAAAATAATTTTATTAATTTTAAAATTTCAAAATAAAACCGAACAAAAGAAACTTACGTTGTGCACAACCACGTTTCCATTGTTGTGTTAAACCATTTGGATCGGTTATGACAAATTGTTCACAACCACCTGGACAATCAGCTTGTTGTACCATATTTGGTACGAAATTATTTGTTGTACAAATATCCGGATTATTATAACAATTAAAATCCGAACAATGTGCAATATTCCATTGGCATGAATAACAACGATAACGATTTGTAACATCTATCGAATTATGGTGATGATGACGATTCTTATCAAATCTTGATGGTGATTCACTCATCATATCTAAACGGTTGATCGAAAATTGGTTACTCAAAATCAAAAACAACAACAAAAAGATTACCTGTTGTATCCATTGTTTCTGATGATACTTTTCCATGATATCTATCAATTTTTTCAAAATCATTTTCATCTTCTGGTCGATTATCAACATTTTTGTCAAATTGTTTTCGATTATGTTGCTGTTGTTGATGATGATTCATCATCTGAATACGAGAATTTCGATTTTCAACATCATTATTATATGGTAGAATATTCTGTCCAAATTGATTCATTTGCGGTTCGGGTATCATTTGTGGATGATAATTTGGTGGTGGTGGTGCCATTGATTGTGGCAAATATCCACCACCACTGAATCCACCAAATTGTTGTAGATAAGGTGGTGGTGGCTGTGGTGGCATCGGTACACGATGATCACTATAAATTTGTTGCCGCTGCATAAACATTGGCACCAATGCTGAATGTGGTATCAAAAGTGATTCAGCTGGATGTCTTGGTTGAATTTGTTGTTGTTCTAATCGACGACGATCCATTTCTTGTTGTTCAAAATGTTTTTTTCTTTCACGTTCACGTTGTTCTTCTTGTTGATGATGACGAATTTGTTCTTGGATTAAATGAAATCGATCAATTTCTTGTTTAGTTGGTTGATAAATTGTTGATGCGGATGATGATTGATCATTATTGGCTTCAAGTAACGATGGTGATGCCCAACAAGAAACAATAACTATAATAATAAATATTGAAAAATTATAATCCATAATCGTTGTTGATCGATCGATGATAAAATAAAATAATTTAAGAAGGTCGAATTGAACTTTAGATGGACATTTCCGTATTTGTTGTTGATCGTTTGTTTTTCGTAGAATTTTAAAAGATTTCGAACCAAAAAACTTGAAAGAAAACTACAACATCATCATTAGGGATTTTCGTTTCATGAAGAACATCGTTCTCTTTGAACTGTCGTCGAACTCCAAAATGGATGAATGATTCAGCAGCAAAGTAGCAAAACAAAATACGACATAAAATGACATGGCGTAATCTAATTCGAATTCCTGGTGGATGACTGATGATGATTGAAAATGAGATCATTTTGGTCAAATCATCATAATCTACAACAACGGGGATTATTCATTGTGTGGTTTGTCTTTTTTCTTGTCTGGTTGACATAACGGGAATTTTTAAAAATAAAAAATTGTCACCCAAAAACAAACAAATTTTGTAAATTATATTTACAAAATTGCAATAAATTCATTAGATAATCATTATATTATAGCAATCCACATTACATTAAAAAATAATTTGATTATTTACAAATTATTTTCGGAAAAAAGAATTTTTATTTGATTTTCCAAGCAAAAAAAAAAATTGACCCAATTCGGGTTTTTGTTTATCGGTTTTTTTTCGATTAAAACAACAACAGTGGAAAAAAATTAAGGTCATTGGCAACCAGGATATCGATTAATGGTCAATCAAATTTTGGAACGGCTGATGGTAATGGTCAATAAAAATTGATTATTTCTTCTTGTATATGCAAATCTCGATGTGAATGAAAATGAAAATGAGAAAATCCTGCTGTGAAAAAAATTAGGCTAAAATTGAATTTTTCATCATTAGAAAATGGAATTTAGAGAAAAATTCCATCATCATCATCATTCATTTGATGATGAAAACGATTAATCAAACTTATGAAAATTTGAAAAAAATTTCATTCAAAATTTACTCCAGAAAAAAAAATTCTCACTCAGCTCATCATCATTATGGATCAAGGAATTCATTTTTTCCATTGAAAAAATTCAAACAAAACAAACAGACAGCCAGAATTCATACACACATTGAATTTCTATTGATCATTGATGCGTTCCAATTTCCATTATGTTTGAGATCAATCGATATATTGATGATGACAACAAAAAAAATTATGAATTTCGTTTTTGTGTTATTATTATCCTGAATTTCTGTATTTTCTTTTCTTAAATCTATCGATATGTAATGTGATAAATGATGATCATGATCATGATCTGTGTGAAGTAAAAGTAAAAGTTTATTGACCACAATATTTTTTTTTTCATACATGTTTAGTCGATCGATGTGTGTGTGTGTGCATATGAATTGCGAAGTTTAGTTAATTTCTGCTATCTCCATACTCTTATTATACGATTCATTTACCGATAAAATATTCTTCGGTTGTTGTTGTTGTTGATTCTTGCAAATAATATCAGTTTTCAGTTAATATAGGAATATTCTGTTTGTTTTGTTTTTTCCGTTTTGTAAATGAGAATCCAAAAAAATTTATGCTTAAATGAAGCTCAAATGTAGCAAATTCTTGCACGCAGGAATAATTATCATTATAAAGTTAAATTGAGATAAATTAGTATCGCTACAATGTGAGAATAATATTCTGTATTCGTTCGGTTTGTTGTTTTTTTACCCAGAATATTTATCGGTTTTTTATTCATTTAAATGTAATTCTTTTTTGGATGATCCCTTTTGGTTTTACGTGATTAGAATATGATTTTTATTTACTTGTTTTTTATTTCTTCACCTTTTTTCCACACTTACAGAATCCATTTAGTGTGGATAAATTTATCGCAAAAATTTATTGGGTAATGAGGAGTAACAGAGAGAGTGAGAAATTCTTCAATCAATTTGATTTGAATAATAAGTTTTTTTTCAAAGAAAAACCTAATTTATACGGATATGGATTCTTTGAATTCTGTCAAGAATCGACTTTGGAATTCTTCAGATTCATTCATAAAATAGTAAAAAAACAACGACGTAACTATAGGAATGACGCTTGAATTCTATGAATGAATGAATGAAACCAATTAGGCTAGGAAACGAAATTTTTTTTACAAAGTGATGATGATACTCATTATTCTTGCAGCCAAAAAAAAACTTGAATGAAATTCTGTCCATAAGTTGTTGCTGTTGTCCAGTAGATTCCTGTTGATGATGAAGGCGACAATTTTTTTCAATGAAATTTTTCTCATCATTATTTTTGAGGGTTTGTTTAGTTGCTATCCAAAGAAATGAGGGAATATTCTTTTCAAAATTTCGTTTTTTTGCTGCTGCTGCTGTTGTGAAATGTTACAACGTACAACGACCTTTGGGTAAAAATTAAATTTTTTCGCTGTTGCGAAATAAAGGAAGACAAAGCCAAAGAATCAAGAATCAAGATTGAGCAGAATCAAGATCAAAAATTTCATTCAGAAGAACCCTACCATCCGGCCATATTTTATTTCATTCATAGAAATCAAAAAAAAAACTACAACTACGTTTTCTTTTTTTACGCAAACCCCGATTGAAACTGAAAACACTGTGATACCCGTAGTATCTCTTCGTCTTTTTTTACCTTTTTTTCTACCAGATTCATTCATTAATTCATTCCATCACTTCTCGATTACCGGTTATTTACCGAAAGGAATTTCTAATAAATAATTTATTTATTTTATTTTCGGTATTTTTTTTCTGTTGTAAACAACAAATTTTTTTTCTGGTTGTTATTTCCTTCGACTGATTCTAACAAAGATTAATGGATGATCAAAAAAAGGAATTTTTCCATTCGAAAAGCTGATTTAAATTATAAAACAGCAGCCGAAGCAGCAACAGAAAACCTGTCAACTAATGAGATTTTCGTTTTTCAATTTTACTAAATAAAATTAAAAAAAAAACTTGATAATCATCATAAGTGATGTAGGAAAAATTTTCTGTTTGCTTGTTAGCATCATGTTGAGGATTACTGCCGAGCACAGAGAACAGAGCAGCATCAAAGCATCCAAAAAGAAATGAAAAGTTGATGCGGACTTATTATTATTATGGTAGAGAGTATGACAATCAACAGAGAATCAAGAAGAGAGAGAATCGAAAATGAAGAAGAATTATATAGAGGAAAAGAAAGAAAGAATATTTTTTTCAAAAGTTGATTCTGTTTTTTGGTTGTTGATGATGATGATTCTGGTAACCGCCAACGCCGCCAACGCACATGATGATGAAAATGAAAGAATTCCGGTTTTTTTTTGTCTATTCACTGATCTGACGACTGACTGAATGGAACACAAATACAAACAAACACACACAGAGTTTGTGTATAAAAAGCCCAAACAATTTCCCAAAAATTAAATAATTCTTTTTTGAGAGAATCCAGAGTTAGTTGCGTTTGGATTCCATTCATTCATTCATTCAGTCAGTCATTCAGTCAGTCAGATCCAAACCAACCAATCGGTCAGCCAACTTGTTTGTTTTTCTATCCAAAAAGTGATAAAATATTCGTCTTGGTTCGGTCATCGTTAAATGTTGGCAGATATTTTTCTAAAAAAAATTCAGTGTGAAAATGGGCAATTCGTTTTGTGATCTGTTCAATCATCAACAAAAAGTAAACAAACAAACTCAGAAAAAATTGAAAATTTATTCAATGAAAATAAAAAAATCTAAGAAGTTCGTGTCGAATAATAACTAAAAAGTCTTAGTGAGAAAAAGATTATTTCGTTTCTTCCTGTCATCATCTTCATCAAAAATGAAGTTTTTCTCAAGCTAAATTCCTTTCTACCGAAAAAGCTTCAATGTTCCATCATCAGCAACAACAAAATGTTTCTAATTCAAATCAAATCAAGGATGATGATGATGAGGTACGACAATAACAATATCACCACCGTTATCTTGTTGAACGAATTTAAATAACCTTGTTGTTAGAAAAATGATGATTATTAAAATAAAATATTTCCAATCATCGACCTCAGTCGATTGATTTGTTAATTTGAAGGGAAATTTTTTCTGCTGTTTTTTTTATAACAATGTTAAGAATGTAAGTTACAACCAAGACGACGACAACGACAAAAAATTACTTTGTCATCATCATCATCATCATTAACAATTTAAAAACAGATGGAAACAAATCAATCAATCAATCAATAATTTAAAAAATCTTGTTCTTGTTTTACGAGCAAAAATGAAACGAAAAAATTTCTTAGTTTTTTCGTCATCATCATTAACATTATGGATCATTATCATAATCATCTTATTCATAATCATATTAATCGATAGTATCGATACTATCGATCGAACGAATAAAACAACAACAACAATAATCGAAAACATTCGAAAATTTTGTCCATCATTCAATAATGATAATCGTTGTCAATGTCAACCGGAACCAGAAAAATTATTTAAAAAATTACCATCAATATGGTTATCATCAAAATATCAATTTCAAATTAATCAACAGCAACAACAAAATGAAAATGATAAATTGAAAAAAAATCTAATACGTTTACGTATTGATTGTAGTCAACAAAATATTGATGATTTAAAACAATTATTATTTTCAACCGAAAATGATGATGATGGAGAAAATCAATCAAAACTATCACCACCATCAGTATTGGAATCGATCCATATAATCAATACATTGTAAGTGAAACATTTTTCTTTCAAAACGGATTAAATCTTTAGCCTAACTTTTCGTTTCTAACATTATTATCATCATTATTCTTAATAACCAAGAAAATAATATCCAATTTTATGTGGTGATCCTGAATCCTGTATTATGGATGATGATGTTTAACATTGGTTTTTTTTCTCTGAAACAATGTTTTTTTGTTGATTATTAATTAATTTGAACAAAAACAAAGCGAAAAAAAATATGATAAATATGCGCCTTACAACGATAATCAAGTTTTTTGCCGAAAAACTCGATTTTTTTTTCTTACTCAAAGATTATATTTTTTGACATTTTCGTTTCGTTCCAAACATGAAACAAAAAAATTGATTTTCACGTTCCATCGTTCAGTCGTATAGTCGGGTTGCATCATCATCATCATTTTATCATTTTCATAATTTCATAAGCCAACCAGCCAAACAAGCAACTGGAATGAAACCTACACACACTGGGAAAACTTCTGAGAAGAGAAATTCGAGATTCGAGATTCTTAAATAAAATAAAATAAAGTTTATTCCGCTTAGTTGATCTTTTTCTGCTGTTTTGTTTGTATATGCACTTGAATCAAGTCAAGTCAAGTCAGTTTTTTTTGATTACCGAAATAAACTTTGTAAAAATGTGAACTGAATGAAGAATAAAAAGATGCAAAATGTCATTTCATTCAGAGATTTTTTTTGTTTTGTTGGTTTTTTGGAATCTAAATGACGTTGGAAACAGAAAATATTGCTACAAACAATCAATTTGATGATGATGATGATAAACTCGAAACAAATTTGAAAAAAAAACCATAAAAGTGTTGCGATAAAACAAAACAAACGATAAAACCATAAAAAACATTGAAAATCGTTTTTTTTCAAACTATTTCAACATACAATTCTGAATTAGTTGAAGTAGTCAAAGAATAAACGTTCGAATCTGAATGATTCTTGAGATTCTTGTTTATGGTTTTTCATTAATTAACACTATGTAACCACCGATGATGATGAAAGTTTTTTGAAGAAAGTCTGTAATTCAACGAAAACGATTTTTCAATTGAAAAATTGAAAAATTCAATATGCTTGTTTGGTTCTATAGAGAGAATATTTCCTACACAATCATTCAATTCTAAAAATAATCAAATGTTCAATGAAGAAGAGCGAAATAAGTACGGATTATATAAATAAAATTTCTGGTCTGGTTTGATGTTTGTCACCACATTTGTAATATTTGTGTATAAATCACCTAAATAATAATGATGACAGCTTTCAGTCGTTTTTTGTTTATTTCTCGGTTAGAAAGCCCTAAAAATAAACCCATGTCTTATCCTTATCCAAATTGTAAAAAAAGAGAGAATATTTACCTTTGATATTCATTCAATGAGATTGAAACAGAAAAAAACTAAGAAAAAAACCAGATGTAACCGAATCGATCGATCGATTATTATGTTTTCAATGTCAAAACTGTATTTTTGTTTTTAAATAAAAATTTATCAACATGTCAAAAAATATGACATATATTTATGATAATGATCGGAAAAAGAAAGAAAACTAGCCAAACCAGCAACAAAATCCAATTATAGATTAAAATATGTAATGATTTTCGATGAATGATAATCATTGATTTCCATTTTCGAAATGTTAAATGTGAAATTATTATACAGCAACTAAATGGTTTCTATCATCATAAAAATTGATGTCATAAATATTTATGAAAATTCTGTTGGTTTTCTTATTTTTGATACAATGAAAAAATTCTGCTTGCTGTCATCATAATCATTAAAAAACATTAAATGTTGACCAAAAATTATCATTACCATTGATAAATAATCCAATTATCATTTATTTATTTATTTTTTAATTTTTTTAAAAAATTTGTAAAAGGCTGTAATTCATAGTTGAGTGAGGTTAGGTTGATGATTATGACTATGACTATGGCTGTGATTCATAGTTCAGTGAGGTTAGGTTGATGACTATGACTATGACTATGGCTGTGATTCATAGTTCAGTGAGGTTAGGTTGATGACTATGACTATG